AACCACGCAGTGCTCAAAGCTATCGATGCGTACTCGAGCACTGGTTTCTTGCACCACTTCCTGGAACGCGATTCCGAACCTATTCCGCAGAAGGTGCTTATTGCTGCGAAGGTCCTGCTCGTCTTCCGACTCGGACTCGGACTCAGACGACGATTCCTCCGTCTCCTCCTCTTCCTCGTCATCTTCACCATTGGCAGCGCGCTCGGCAGCGCGCTGCGCCCGACGCTCGTCTCGCTCCTTGCGCTTTTTCTCCTTGGCTTCTTTCTTTTTCCTTCGCTCCTCTCGCCGTTTGGCGAGGGCGGCAAAGTCAACCACTCCGCCACCTCCTCCTGTACCCACGACCACATACAAGCCCCGGTCCTCATCAAGCCCAGCAAGAACAAGCGGTGTACCGAGGGCCCGCCTGCGTCCTACCTTGACGGAGTCTCCTCGTTCCCTCTCTTGTACCCGAATCGCCTCAGCAACCCACAAGGCCAATTTGGTCAATGCCCCTGGATTGGTGAAGAGCTTCACGTCCGGACCATCTTTGACAACGGCGATGCGGAACGCTCGCAAATGACGAATTTGGTGCTTTGCGAGTAGAGAAGTGCCAGTGCGAAGAATGGCCCGGTGCAGGTGCTGAGCAAGAGGGAGAGATGACAGCAGGAGCGTCGGCGACTCCGAAGTCAATGACAGAGCGTCGTAGGCACTCCAAAAACGGGGCAGCAGGCTGGCCAGATCTGACTCGGTAGACCCATCAGCATTGGTCGCTGTAGCCGTTTTGGACGCGCGTTTGGCATCCCACACCCCGGGGGCTTCTTCAGGCCCGACTTCAAGGATTGCACCGACGATAACACCCACATCGGTGGCAGAGAGACAGGCTTTCCAGCCCCAACAGCGTACAAAACCCCATCCCTCGCGAGAGACGGCATGCCCAGACGCCTCCGGCGGAACAAGTCCGTCCAAGCCGTACATTGGCGCATACTTCAAGAGACGTTGTCGTAGTACTCGCTTCAGCTCCATATCCATATGGGTATAGTTTTGATGGCTCTGGTTCAAGCTGATGCCCATCTTCGCCAGCAGTTTGTGTAGTCGTTTCTTTCCATTCTCCGTCCACACATGAAGTCTGGATGCCAGATACGGGCTGTGTAGCATACTGTCATAGAGCGACCAATGCCGCACGAGGATGAAACGCGGTTCAGGCGATAGCCGGATCGACTTGTCCGTCGGAGACCGTGCCGTAGTCGGAATGACGCCGTTAATTTCGCCTCTGATGTCGCGATCTCGCTCATATGGATCAGGAGGGTTTAATCGCAGGACCTCATCGCGTAGAATCTGCCGTATTCGCTCGCCTCTCTCTCCACCCCAGCCAGCTGAACCCCCGTACTCCAGCGCATTCGACACACCCACTCCAGACATGGTACGGCCACTCAGTTCCAAGCTCGAGACACCCACAATGGCCAGCCACAGCAGATCGTTGTCTTCACGACCGAGCTCGGACGCAAGGGAATAGACGATGGACGATATCGGTTCCGAATACGACGTCCCTGACGAATAGTAACTCTGTAGCACATTCTCGTGCTTCCTCTTCATGCGCAGCAATCGTCGTCGTAACGTGCGCGCCGACGGCGGCTTGGGCTGTACCGGCGATGGTGAATCTGATGTTGGTGTAACCGAGCGAGACGAATTGGACGAATCATGCATAGCTCTCCGCGGAGGGCGTGACGGCGACGAAATGATATAGGATCCCTACAATGAGCACATTAGCACCAGCCTCAGCACAGCAAGAACGTATACTACACACCGAATCACTCCTTCTCCGCTGACGTGGAGGCCCATCTTCATCATCCGACTCGTCGTCCTCATCCTCGCGCGACCACGACTTGCGTTTCTTGGAATCCGCACTCGAGGGATGATCCTCGTCGCGATCACTCCCCGAGTCGCCATCCTCATCCTCGTCTTCATCCTCCTCACCCACTTCGGGCATAGCCAGTAACTCACAATATGCCTCCCGCTCCTTCCCCAACTCCTCCTCAATATCCCCATCATCATAAACCACAATGCCCCCATTGCCGGACGTATACGCCGACGTAATACACCCTTTCTCAACGCCGCGCGACCCTCGTCTCGCACCCAGATTCGCCATTCCCATAGCATCAGCCGCCGCGGACGGCCGCCCCTCACCCCCAAACACATTAGCCAGGTTCCACGGCCGCCTAGCATCAAATACCCACACCTCGACCCCGCCCATATCTTCTTCCTCTTCTTCTTCCTCATTGCCCAAGCATAATATCTCACTCAAATCCACCAGGCCACCCACCCCGAGACACACAACTACCCCACCACTCCCGCCATTGTTTGTCCGCATGGGCTTGACCAATTCCTCGCCCGCCCGCGCGAGATCGCCATACCCGGCTACCGGCTGGATCTTGTGCGGGATGTAGTCGCGCTTCAGGAGCGCCGTGAGAATCCGACAGGCACAGAGAGCATCGGGTTCGAGGGCCACGAGGATCAGAACAGGTGGGGATAGCGGGTGGTGTGAGCGGAGGAGTTGTTGGTAAAGGTGGGAGATGAGTTGGCGGGGGAGATACATGGCGGTTAGAATTGGATTCGCGGCGTGAAGAGGGTCGAATGGGGGCTTTTGGTTGAACCCTCGTCAGGCCGTGAGGGAAGAAGCAGTCGCGGTAGGAGGTGGTGTGGTTCTATTCAGTTAGTGGGCGAAGGAGAGAATTGGCTGAAGCACGCGGGTGGGCAAGTATGAGAGCGACGAGAGGGAGGGATAGGGCCGTGTCGAAGAGTACTGAAAAGTGCATAGAATTCTTAATCTGAGTCGTCAAACAGGAACCTAGGCAGGTAGACTTATTTGGCGGCGACTCAGAGGTAAGAGACAAGGGTCGTCCACGCCATTGTTTCCTGATGTTGTTGTTGCTTGTGGGTGTTTTCTGCGGAAACCAGGCGATGTAATAATCGAGCGGCGCGCATCGCCAGCCCGAAGACGCGTCTGGCACGTGCGGAGGTCCGCCCGCCAAGCCCGGGTTTTACTCTTCGCAAATAAAATCAATTTTACTCAAAAGGCGCTGCTCGTTGGCATGTTGCAGGTCTCCACGTTCTTCAGTTCTTCAGAATGTTGCACTGCAGACGGGCTTGTTTCGAGGGGCGATGGGAATGGCTTTCCTAAATTGGCTGTCGAAACTATTGGTTTTATCCTCAAAGAGTGGCTTGAACTTGGGTTTAGTCCCAAAGCATATTGCGTTGCCCTAGGCTGGATGTCTGTTCAAGAAACAATGCATTCATCTGTGTACATGCTATGCTGATTATAACGGTGGAAGATTGTATGGAAAGAAAAGACACCTGAAACGCCAACCCTGCGCTATCCGGTTAACATAAACCCCGGGTGCAGATGTGCTCTAGCCTCCAGGTCAGTAAACTCAGAAGTAGTTTGTAACACGCATCAAATGCAATATGCTGCCCCAAGATCAAGCCGAGGTCCCGCCCAAGATCGATCCCGTAAGCCAGACAGCAGCACACGCGCCCAGGACGGAAACCCCGACCAACCGCTTCTGCCACGTAGATTCCTCCGACATCTTCGCCGGCCCAACCTTGGTCCTGACCGTGTAATGCAGGGAAGATTCCTCATGCGCACTGGCATCCTTTGACACCAAGGACTCGTTCTGCCGGGCGAGATAGTCCTGGTCGCGGGCGCGCCATTTGTTCACGAGTCGGGCAATCTCAATCAAATCCTCCTGCAACGAGCCTGGCTCGGTCGCATTAACATTCTCAACTTCGACGTTCTGCACATTCCCAAAGAAATCTGCCACGGTGCGAAGCCGTCCCTCCTGCTCGCCGCCAGGGAACAGGTCCCACCTGACGCCCGGCTGGGAATGGATCTTGGACTCATCGTACGAATCAAACAAGTCGCCCAGCGTGAGCTTCGAGTTGGCACTCGTCACCTGTGTCTCCAAAAACTCCAACACATAGTATGTCCAGCGATCGATCACCGCAACTCCGACATCGTTGTCCGCATGGTGGGAGTAGGAAGATTGGTCAAGCTCACTGGATCCGGTAGCAATGATGTTCGGCGAGTAGAAATGCGTATACATAGTGTTGGCCTGGCAGGTATCAATCATGAATAGGAGTTCATGGTAGCGCTTCTTTTCCCACATCTGACCGAAGGCGTCCGCCAGGTCCCAGGCCCCGATTTCCTCGGAGTCCTGAAACTTCAGGAACTGGTCGCCGCCGTGACCAGTCATGTAGACCAAAACATTACTGCCCGCGTCGGAGCCAAGTCGCTTGCTGCGTGGTACATCTTCGTCCAGGCGATCCGTCAGAAGGCGGATGAAGTTCTCCACGGTGACCTCGTACCCCCGATAGTCGACCTCGATGTTGTCGCCGTAAAGATCAACGGCGCGATCTGCATTGCTGTAAACGGTTCCGGGGAAGGCATTGCGAGGGTTGCAGGCCATGTCATCGGGGAGCATCAGGATGATCTGCGAGTCGGGGATGCCCAACCGCTTGACGGTGCGGTACAAGGAGAGGACATTGGCAAGATGACGGTAGTTGAACCAGAAACGGGAGGTTGAGACGAGGACGGCCCAGTTGGAGGTATGTTCGGAGGATACTGTGGCTGTGAGGGCGAGTAGAAGTAAAGGCAGGACTCGAAGGAGACCTGAGTAGGGCGTCAACATGATCGCTGATGGGATGCTAAACCATCGCAGACACCTGCAATGATGATCAATCAAGCCGCATTCGGGGAGGGAGTCGGAGGTGTTCCTGAGGCAGGAAGGCGGAGATGCGGGTAAAAAATGGTTTTAACCGCATATGGCATAGTTCCACAAGTGACGTATTCAGGATGTTTGGGCTATTTGACTTGTTTGGGGTGTTTACATCAATTGGATTTGAAGCAGCGCGCATACCCCGTCCTGAGGTAGATATCACTAGAGACTGCTCCGTACATAGGACCGGATTACATACAACGCAAACCAAACAGCACATAGATAGACAATCTGGTTCCACTCATATCCCTACATCATATCCTTCCTGTTCATCTTTCCAGCCGGGCCCTGTTTCCACATCATGATCTGATCAACATGGCGTCTCACCCTCGGATAAACGTCTTGATAGGCTGTCGCGCCCATCCAGGCATCCAAATGTCCCTTGCCCGTGAAGACTTCCCGCTCGTACCAATCCCTTCCGTGCACATTACAAAGTGTCGTGTACGAGATATCCGTGTTCTCGGCAGTAAACACCATGTTTCCAGTTCCTGATAGGAACAAGATCGGAATTCCCTTCAAACGTTCGAGGTTTTCCGGCGTGACGAGATCGGTGAAAGCTGGCCCGTTGGCTAGAACGCTCTCCTTCCGGCCGCTCTCCATGAGCCATTGAAGGGAACGCATTGAGGTGCCGCCGAGGAAGCGTTCGAGTTGGGTGTGGGTGGCGTCGTTAAGGTTTTTATGGGTCCAAAGACTGCGGTCTTGTTAGGTGATTGTTGCTGGCGGATGCACAGACGTCTTTGGAACACTTACCGGCCAAATACAAGTTCGCTCCGATGGCAGACGACCGATCGGCACGACTCCCCGGCCTCCCCATGAGGGTAAAAGCGCAACGCTTGGTTCAACAGTGACTGGATATAAGTGTCGTTGCGGCTACTGGTGCAGTCCCAGTACGGACTGACCAGTCGGGCATATAGGGATGTGGGAAATTTGGACAGGAGACTATCAACCTTTCCAAACTTAGGGTTCATGAAAACCATTGATGCGGTGATTCCCTGAATCCAGTCACTAGGGATTGTGCCGTCCAGTAGGCCGCAAGACAGTGCTAGGGAGCCTGCGCAGTGGGCCACCACGTAGACCTTTGGGGGCTCGGACGGACTCATTGTGCTGATAACATTGCGGATGTGGACAAGAGCAGCGTGTATATCGCGCCGTGCATCATACGGTGTGTACCCTTCTCGAGCGATCGGAGCTCGTCCGACTCTATGAGTGATGCAGTAGATACGATATCCGGACTCGCGGAAGTACTCAACTGCATTCCTCTCTATGGTAGGAAGAGCGAACATTTTGTGGTCAACTGCTGCTCCTGGTATAAAGAGTAAGGTTGGGGCAGGGCCCAGAATATCCTTTCCTTGGAAGGTGGGATTCCACATCACCATGTTTGTGGTGACTCCGTCAGATGCTGTCAATGGAATGGTGGTTGATGGAGTTACTTCTTTAGAAGCGTAGGTCAGCGTTGTGTCTGGCCACTGAAGTTGCCCAAGCGCCGAAAGAAATGGCACGGAAAGCTGTTTCGCAAAGTAGGCGAGAAAGCTCGCTGCTGATTTGGCCCTTGTCCACAGCGATGGCCCACTTGTTTCGAAGGTTTTCAGTTCGTAACCGAAATCGTCTGGCAAAATGCGCAGCATACCGCGGCCTACTACTATATTGCTCGTATCTGTGATAGTGACATACAGCGTGCTGGTCTGTCTCCACAGTTCAAGTGGGTTGAGGAAGGATGCACTGTTCACGATTTTGTAGCCGTTAAAACGCAGTTTTCTCCCACTGGTCGATATCATGTCAAAGTTATAGGTCAGGTTCGCTGTGTCTGGTTGCCGGGCATCGTAGTTGAACAGTTGGAAGGTGCCTCTGTGGACCAAGAAGACACCTCCAAGCGTGTTGCAAGTAAATGTTCCCGTCAAGTTTGCCAGATGTTGGCTGCTCTTCACCACTGCAAAGCGTCAGTATAAATTGACTAGAGGCTTATATGTAACAGCATAAACTCACGCTCCTCAGCACTCCATGCTTTGACGCTCAGGAAGAATCGTGCATTCTCGCAGCGGCCTCGAGCAAGCTTCGTCGCGACCTCAAAGTCTTTAACGTCATAACCAGTGTATATGAAGCCAGTCATGATCTCCGAGAACACGACACCGGTGTTTTGATTTTCAGTGGCTTTCGCAAGCCTGTATGCAAGTTGCGCGGTTTCTGCATCTTGAGGAGAACGATATGCCGGTGTACCGAACATGTCCAATTGACCTGAGGCTGTTAGCGAGGGAGAAGCGTTTTCGTCTCTGCCCAGTACCCACCGTTCTTCGTGTTATAGTCGATAGCTATATTTCGCCTCCGGGCTACCATCTCAACTGATCTTTCAGCAAAGGCTGTAATGGTCGCAAAAGGATTGACGCCAACAGCTGCTGGCAGCGCAGAGCTGTCGCACACGACCAGTCCTTCATACGCTTCGCTGCTGTTTCCCTTTAAGACTTCCCCAAGGTGATTGACCACCCCATTGTTCCCAGTGTTGTCTTTGCTGATGCGCGCTCCACCTCTGCGGTAAAAGTTAGGTACTTCAACTGGTGCTGGGTCTACCGCTAATAAACGTACATGGGATGCACTGTGATCTCCTGCCTACCCAAAGTACTCCAGACTGGGTTGGCTATAAAATTCCCACCGACAGCAGCCGTCATTCTCTCGAGGATACCGTGGATGCGAGATACAGATTTAGATCGGCCCACACCCGAGTATGTTAGCACTGGCTTGTCTTTCTGGAGTGATAGTCTGCCTTGGCTACCTGCAATATTGTGAGAAAGAGTTCTTATAAACTGACAAGCATGCAAGGTGCTCACTGTCATGCGACATGATCAAATATACGGCAGTCTTCTGCACACTTCCCTCGGGTACGTATGGCCCAAGCTTGCCTTTCAGTCGTGCGACAAACTTCTCTACACTCTCAACAGGACTGTACTTGGGACGTCTTATATCTGGCAAGTATTCCAACATGCTGAACATGAGTGGGGCAAGAGCGTATGGTACTGCACAGTCTTCTACCACGAACCCATCCAAAACGTTTTCCTGATCCCTCAGATCCAGAACTGAAGTTATGCATGGTCCTACGGGTCGCTCAGGTGTGGGTTCAGGACGAGCTATGCAGTTAGCTTCATAGTCGGTATTGTACCTGTTACAGCGCCTCAGTTCTGTGTCCATGAAAAGCGCAGCGATGAACTTGCCCAAAGCCCAACATATCCCCGTTGCCGCTCATCTCAGTGCCGACGTCATCGCTCAAGTCCAAGCCCATCTGTCTGCTGCGGAGCAGGATCTCGGTGGTTCCGATGCTTCCAGCTCCTAAGAAAACGAATTTTCTTGCATGCACCCACATAAGGTCGTCAAAGAAAGTGCTGAAACGGTCTCGTCCACAGGAGCGCCACGCGAAGTATATAATGTATCCTTCACGATCGGGGGCTTTGGCAACATATCTGACCTCGCAATTACAGAAGATCTCGGCACCCCAATTCCATGCATCACTGAGATAGTTCACAAGCGTTGTAGACTTGCTGCCGTCGTTGACACCAGTCGCATCCATTCCCGTCAGCCGTGACGCCTGCATGTAGACTCCCGTAGAGTTGGGGCCGTCCTCAAACCGAGTTGTTTGCGGAACACGGTAGAATTTATCGCCCCAGCTCATGAGCTCTGATTGCCTTCTGAGAAGATCGGCTTTGAGAAGCTTTGGAAAAGTCGGAGGGTACTTGGCAGGTTCCAGAACGCTCCTTGCGCGGTCATAATCTGGAAATCATCAGAAAAGGGTCCCGAGGAGAGCAATTCCCGGTCCTAGAATTGTGCGATATATAAAGGTCACGAAAGTGCATGCTTACACTTTTTCCATGCTTCGTGTCCTCTCAATTCCTCTGGCCAGACTCCCATTTCCAGCACTTTGCGATGGGCTTCAAGGAACACATTGGCATTCAGAAGGCTGGTGCCACCGAGACCGTTACCCATATATACGTTCTGGCCTTCGCCTACCACGAAGTGGTATAGGCCATTCGGGTTCCCCGCGTCAACCATGGCTCCAGGGATACTTCTTCTGTCGCCGGGAGCGAATTGACCGCTGACGTGAAGCTCCTCCACCGCATCCTCCAGTTTTTCAGGGAACTCACCAGGCCATCTCTCCCTCCCTCGCTCGAGGACGCAGACGCTCTGCCCTCCTCTGGCCATTCGACTGGCGGCCACGCCCCCTCCATACCCTGAACCAATGGCCACCACATCGTAGGAGTCTCGCATGAGCTCTACTGGCATCGAGATACGGGGGAATCGGCTTTGGGATTGTGGTCCCCTATCAGCTCCGTTAGCGGAGGGAGCTTGAGGATTTCTGGACGGAAGTCCATTGTAGGGTGAGCCCCCATTTGGACCATCGTGCACTCCGTTCATCCCATTCACTGTGTGCTCCGCATTTTTGATTCCGTCTTGCATTGCGGTTGGTTTATCTGTGTTGATAGATTGTCTGTTCTTGAGACCGAGTATCTACGGAGGCAGGTATATGATGAATTCGAAGTCGAGCAGGGCGCCTTGTCAAACTTATTTCAGGCCTTAGCTTCCCAAAGTAATTCGTAACAGAAGAGCATGGGGCCGGTCACGCACATGAGATATCTTGCTCACCCATTTTGATACGAGGAGGCCTTCAGTCCATCACATGTCGTGGGATAGAACAATCGTCATGTTCATATGAAAAAAAGTTTCTGGGCGTGAATCGACCCCGCCCGCATCGTATAGTCAAGGCTGAACCAACTCTGTCGTCTGAAGAGAGTTTCCGCAAGCAGCTACACCACCAGTTCAATGGTGTGTAAAGAAAGGCTGAATTGACTTTGTGGCTGGATGTAAAGTAACGGTCCGCAGACAATCTGGCATGTTGTGGCTTGAGAATCTCGGCTCCTCAGGCCGAAGAGAATCTAGGTCAATTAGACTCAAGCTTGACGATCCGGCGCCCTTGGCTGGTCATCTTGAGGTATTCCGTGGCGCCTCCAGCCATTACTTCATTCGTCAAACCAGGCAAACCACGGGGTTCCCGATCGGTCATCCCGGCGAGTGCGTCAAGGTCTAGGCTGCCACATGATCTAGATATCTTGGAAACTATATCTACCGCCATCCATCAACTATTCATACAACGAAACTCAGGAGACCATGTCTCATCATTTTCACAAGCTTTACACTTGACCACTTTGTTGCCAACTTGTCACCATGCATGCTGGGTCTTGTCAAGTCTATGGCTCCGTATCTGGTGAGGACATCAACAGTTACCCCAAATATACGGGTTCCCCCTTGTTGTTGTTCCTCGCTGATCTGTGGCTCTTCCTCTGTAACATCTTCTACCTACCATGCATTTTCTTGCCTCTCACGCCATGGTCTTGTGGGAGTCTGGATGAATTGTACCCTTCTCTAGCCAATATCTTTGACATCTGTCTTCATTGTGTTCTGTTTGTTCTCCAGCTCGTCTTTCTTGTCTCACTCCCCTTATTCATTTGGCTACCATTCGGAGTCTACGTTCTGTATATTGTGACCGCTCTCGCCTTGAATACGCTCATCTGCTACGCTTTGAACCGGGGTATCCCTCAAGACGGTCTCAGGTCGACAGAGGATGATTTCTCAAGACGGTGGAATCGCCATGAGGACGAGTATTGGATATTCCTCAATGGAATTTGCGTTGGGTTGGTTTTGACTTCCATCCTACCTTGTGAGTACAAGACTGACCGAAACAGGAGGAACTGGCTACAGAATAACGTCGATCGCATATCGCGGACATTCCACCGTCCAGTAGTCGGCGTCCACAATAAAACGTATGCTTCCCCATCCTTTGTCAAGGTTCAAAATATCCAGATGTATGGGGGTCTGATAGTCGTTAGAGCTGGTGTCATATTCGACATTATCCAGTGCCTCATTCAACGTTGTTTGTTGTACGCGACAAATGATGTTCGAGACTGCTACGTATTGGTTAGAAGAGCACTGTATCGGCCAGAGGTAAAAAAGGTTGTGTTAATCCTGCACTCGCAAGGGGGCATTGAGGGCGGAATGATCCTGGATTGGCTTCTCGATGAAGTACCACAGGATCTCATCAGACAACTGGAAATCTACACCTTTGGCTGTCTTGCAAATCACTTCAACAACCCGTATCGCGACACGGCATCGTATAACGCAGCGATGCGCTATGTGCGCACGGGAGACATCACTGAAAATATCCACAACCGCAGCATCTTACACATTGAGCACTACGCCAACAAACGTGATTTTGCATGTCGATTTGGGGTGCTGAATTTCGACCACAGTAAGCCCCAGGACCGTCGCGAAAACCGGTTCATGGGTAAGGTACTCGTTAGTCCCGCTTCAGGCCATCAGTTCAATCAGCATTATCTTGATACGATGTTCCCACTTGACCCAACCAACCGGTTTACGCGGGAGCCACGGGAGGGCGACTTCATGGGCACAGATGTCATAGTAAGTCGGCATGATAGGTGTGAAGAAGATAGGCCTGTCACGATCTTAGATGCAGCGGGGCTGTTGGACGCAGGCACTGGGGAAGTAGATGGCACTAGTTTGAACTCGGTACTCTCTGGTAGTGCGCAAAACATGAAAGTTGGGCTCAATATGAAGTTGAAAATGCACCAAATGAGCAGATTGTGGCTCTATCGAAATGGTGGCCGTCCAGTCTCGTGAACTTGCTTAGGTGTGAGATAGGCTTTTTGTATCATAGGTTCTTCTGAACGAAATTGTGGGATACTGAGTGCGATTCATACGTAATTTGATCATTGGGCTTGCTATCACAGCAGTCATTGAGTCGTGCAGCTGAGGATGGCTCCAAACCGAAAGTCTGCCTTGTCGCCTTAACGCGTACTCAGTAAATGATTGCTTTTGCGATAAGAAAGCCTCGGCTGTCTGGTTGACATAAACCGCCACTGCCAAAAATCCTTCCAATAGGACACTCAGAAATTATCAGGTGCCTATGCACTTGCAGGACACTTTGCTCCGTCATATGGCAGTATATATGTTAAACTGTGAACAAGTCTGGAGATGCCGATGAAATCATGAAGAATCGAGATGCCTCGGCTATTGCCTGAATCGGAAAGCCCGTGCTCCACCGAACCGGCGTGTGAAGGCGGCCTCCTTAACCCCCGCCAGATCTCAAGACTTTCTTCTTCATTTGCTTCGTGCATGTTCCTGTGTTTCAACTCCTCACTTGTCTCGGAGTCGGAAGAGCACTAGCACTAGATATGGCGGCATCAGCGACTCTTTTCAAACCTCCGCCGTTGGATCCCACCAAGGCGCCCGTTGAGAATGTGTTAGAGCTGACACCGGTGATTGACGTGGGGAAAGTATGTCTTTCCCTCCCATCTCTTTAGTTCTTGCGAGTCCAACGGTTTTCTCTCTTTCAACAGGATGTGTTCACCAATACGCGACCCCTTTGGCATCCGCCTGGTGCGCGAGGCATCTACGGCGGTGCTGCCATCGCCCAGTCTCTCGCCGCTGCGCTACGAACTGTTCCCGCCGATTTTGCCGTCCATAGCATGCACTGTTACTTCCTCCTCGCCGGTGACTCCGAAATCCCTATACTGTACCACGTGGAACGAGTACGTGATGGAAGGAGCTATATCACGCGGACGGTACAGGCCAAGCAGCGCGGTCGCCCCATCTTCACCACAACTCTGAGTTTCAACAAGGCCAACAGTGGCGGCAAGAAGAAGCTCGAGCATGCATCTTCGATGCCAGCTGTCACTCTGCCAGAGGAGTCTGGACCTGGGTCTAAAAGGAGGTTCGAGGAATCGGGCGGTGGGCCATTCGAATCACAGAAAGCGGGGGTTATAGATCGTCAGTCTTCATAGTGCGTCGGTAGAGCTTGAGGTTATATGCTGACTGTCTCAGGAAACCGCCCTCCTCAGGAGAGGAAAACGAGACGATTCATGCGGTCACGGGGCAAGATTTCCGATGCGGGTGGCCATCAAGCTCATCTTTCCGCCCTTGCATATATGACCGATAGTTATTTCATTGGCACTGTGTCCAGGGTTCACAACATTCCTCGGTTCTCTTCCCCAGAGGAACTTAAGAAGGCACTAAATGCGCTCAAGAACCCGTCTGACCTGGATGACGAGGATATTGCGCGCGCTCTCAAGGAGCTGAAGGAAGAAGAAACGGCAGATTTACGCCGTCGCTTGGAGGGCGCTTTGCACAGAGTAACTAACCAGCCACCCCAGGAGCATAAGGAAGTGGGCATGATGGTCAGTCTTGATCACTCGATCCACTTCCATAACCCTTGGGCATTCCGGGCAGACGAATGGATGCTTACAGAAATGGAGAGTCCTTGGGCCGGTGAGGGACGAGGTTTGGTTTTGCAGAAAATTTGGTCAAAGGATGGAACATTGATCGCTACATGCACTCAAGAGGTATGTGTGATGAGTGCTTTTACTGAAAGGACATGTCTAATGAGTTTCTGTATAGGGAGTCGTGCGCCTCAAACAAGACGAGCCACCTCGGTCTAAGCTTTGACGACGAGGACACATGCCGTTGACGTCCAGTCGTAGTAGATATACCCGTATTTGTGTACTCTTGAGTAAATCATGTTAGATAGTATAGATTTGATAATTGCATAGTGTATAGTCGGCAATGAACCGGTCATATTTCATCATCTTCAGTTACTCGTCGAGTTCTTTCGTTGGTCTCTTGGGGCACATCCATATATGACTGGCACCCGAAATGTAATCTCATATTGTCTAAGTGTAAACATTGGTACTACTGGATACTATACTTTTCAAATTGGGGGCAAGTAATATGCTCTTTCTCAGAAGAAAATACAAGCGTGTGCATTCTGGGCTGGTCTGAAGTCTCCCAGGCGAACAACTATAATATATCAACAAGATTGCTCAAGTCATGCAGATCGTCAACGGTATCATGAAAATGCAAAATAATACAGACAATAAAGAAACAATACTTTGACCGGAGACTTTTCAAATCAGACAGCCGCCCATCCGTTTGATGGCCCAATGCAAGAAGCGATGCAAAACGCAAAAAATGCAACAGAAAGCCTCCCATGCGATGGCGTCCTTTTCGCCGCCTTTTCCTTCTTCCCTCCTTCCCTACCTCATTAATCTTCAACCATTACACCATCATCTTTTCAGGGTCTTGTTGATACATTCGGCTTTTCTTTTCACAGTACTCCAGAGCCTTAGGGCCCCAGACCTCTCTTCCCTTGTATTCACCCACATACTCTGGCCAGCTCCTAATCTCTTTGGCAAGGTTTTGCAGTTCCTGCATCGGCAGCTCGTCCAGAGTTGTCAAGATGGTCTTGACACCAAAGACGAGTGCTCCGGTACGAGGGAGTCGACGGAAAGTTTGCCGCTCGCGACGAATGACAATATCTTGCGGCGTTGGATCCGGATTCTCCTCAGATAGAGATGTTGGTCGATAGAGGATCTCAAATAAATCTTCATCGGGCCGCTTCACTTCGACGAAGTAGTTGGATCTTTCCATGGGCGATGCCGGTGTGAGCCGAGCCAAGAATCTGGAGTAAGCATGTTAGCCTCTCTCCTTGCTTCTGCAATTCGCCTTTACTGCCAGTTAAAACATCCAGAGTACTTACTTGCTGACTGAATTGGCAACCTGCTGATGCCACAGTGGTACCGGGTTGTGAAGCTTGGAGATGGTCCACCCAATGCGGTCTTGAACTGTCCAGCCAACGGGGAAAAGGCTTGCGCTGGCGGCGCTGTTTATATCGGTTAGTCGGTCTACTTGTATGCGGAAACAGGATTTTAAGACTAACAGATAGTACTCGTCCTCCTCGTTTTTCATCAGAATACTCAGGTCCTCCATCGTCAGTCTGACGGCGATTTCTAGGGGATCGACGTCTTTGTTCTTCCCTCCAAAGCAAAATGTCTCTCCGGTCATCTTGTTGTGCACAGTTGTTTCATCGCCGCACTTTTTCTGTTCGAACACATTGGAGAATCGCTGGCAGAGAAATTCGACTACCTCCTCCAATGCCTCTAAGCATGCATCGTATGACTCGGGGAGGCATTGGAGGACCTTGCTCTTCTCTGTCTCCAGCAATTGGCTTCTAACTTCGTGCTCGTCCATATAATTCTTGTCAACGGTGAGCCAGTTCTCCACGTCCAATTTCCGAACGTCCATCATAACTCGGTACCTCTCCCTGCCCTTGATTGGCTGGGCCGGATAAGGAGCCATTTTCTTGAGATCATTGCAACCCGGTTCTTGGGCATGTTTTGTGCGGCATAACGATGAAAGATTCTTTCGGTATCTGGTGAAGATAATGGAAAGAAGAAAAATTGACAACGCAAGACATGATAGGGTATTCATTGCCGTTGAGAAGAAAGTCCACAACAAAAGGGAATGAAGAAAAGGGAAAAAGAAAAGAAGAGGATCTTCGATGAAGCTTTTTATTGTTCACGCATACAGGTCTCCACGTCGCAAGTCTGATGGGAAGAGGCAATGGGAGAATTCAACATGACGAAACTCTCTGCTCCCGGCGAGGACAATGGCTCCAATTATAATCAGGAGAGTAAGCCATAGTCTCAAAGATCATCATTAGGGTCAGACGATTTAGCTACAAGTGGACTACTACTTTCCGGATTCAGGGAGCTGGGTTGGGTTCTGATACGTTCTGTCTTTCCCCGCAAAAGCCGCAATTCGCCGCCCCGAAAAAAGAAAAGGAACCTGACAGCATCCACATGATCCCACTGAATTCTCAGCATTCATTTCAATCGAGCTCCACTGGGTCTTAGTGGTAAACGCGGGGGTGAGGATCCATCAGAGAGTGAACTCTATGTGGACGAGAAACTCAAACCATGCGCAGGTCCGTCTCCGCCCTGGATCCGCAGCCCGGCCCATGTACTAGCTGCTGGATGTCACTTCAATTGCGACGGTACCGGTGCCTACTAGCCTTGATTTGCCTGGATGGGAATGGTATGAAGTTAACGCGCTTACTCACATACGAAAGAGTACTAGGCCGGGCAAGGGTTGTGACAGACAATAATACCACTCCCTACTTCCATTTTTCCTATGGAATCGTCAGGCGGAGCTCACGCGTATATCGTCCGTGCGCGCGCCCATTGGAAGACCTCGTGAGCTGAACCCGATCGGATCCTAGGGGAAATGATTCCCCTGTCTAACAGGTTCCTGCGGTTCCGCCCCAGCGGTATTCGTCTTTTTTTCTGTCCCGGGGCAGACGCAGCGACATCGAGACGGGTACATCGTACTTGATGGAATTACGAAATGAGAAAGAAATAGCGCAGTCCGGTATGTTGGGACCACCTCCGGGGACCAGTCAAGCATGTCTTTAGACCGGAGTGCATGAAAATCATACATCGTCACCTGTGCAACAGAGGGCACGATGACCGAAGGAAAGCGCGTGGGATGCTGCGTGGGCCGGCTTCCCACTCGGTACCGAGTGGGAGGAGGGTCATCAGCTCCCAGCGTAATGGCAAATAGACGTCCTCTTAGCCGGCTATGAAATTCTACGGACCTGCCTACCATGCTGGGGATGGGAAGAAGGCACCGCTTGGTCTCCATCTGTTTCGAGTGACGTGCTGGCAGTCTAGTCATTCCAGTTGCTGCGACTGGTCAGTCGGCTCCGGCGCAGTGATGCCACTATATTGGAGCTAAGTCGTTAAGAGAAAGCCCCAGGTCGGCACTGACGTACTGTGAGGTGTCCTTGCAGTCCTGCCAGGCCTCTGGCGCAGACTATACGCTACTCATCCGCTAGTGGAATTCTACTTACTGTGTTGGGACGTGCATCCCATCCATGGTAAGTTGATACTCAGCGTGGGCGTGATGGGAAATTATGAAATAACCTGACGGGCGATCCACCTCCGGCACGAGTCCAGAATCTGCTCTTTTTGTTTTTTTTTCTCCACTCTTCCTAAATGAGCCCATCTGGGGTTTTGCGCTGCAACCGCCCCAGTTCGCGCAAAGCGCGCTTGCCGCAGGTCCAGTTTAATTGGGAACTTATTATCAGTGTCCGTTACGTTTGCTCTTCTCAATGTGCGACAAGACGGCGGTGTCTCAAGAAAGAATGCGTCTTTTTCTCCCACTCGTCTCATCTAGCTGGCTTTTGAGTCTTTTTTTTCCTTTTTCCACTTTTGGTTTATCTTTTACGTTGCTTATGCCGCGTTTCTTTGCTTTTCCTCTCATTTCTTTTTTTTTTAGTTTTGATTTTCCCACCCTCTCTATACTCTTTCGGGATTGCTTACATTGCCCCTTCCATCATTGTTGGGGCGATCTCAGATTTCCTCCGCCAGAAGATCAAGGTTAATCACCCTGTTTTCTTGCATTTCCTTTTTCTTTTTTCGGGTTCTCCTCTTCAGTTTGCATTCGTCACATCTGTCCAAAATCATCCACCGAGTGTATCAAATCCTCCGAGACACAGGCGGGCTCTCGGACCGAAATGGACTTTCATTGCCCCCAGCTCGCCGATAGCAACGATGGGACGACAGTGGGGAGTTCCTAGTGTCTACTGCCCTGACTTGACGACGACGCTCTAAGTGGACTGACTGGCTTGCGGACCCAAAATTGTCTGCCTTTCGGCACAGCCTACTATCTTAGTCCATACGGTACAGGCCAAAACTCATGTCTAGACTCTCTAGGCCTCAGAAAAACACCGGCGCACGGTGTGGTAACCCACCTTTCGTCAGTGATCGTCGAATGATTGAAGAGGGATTTGCAAGAAGCTCGGCGGGCCATACGGCATTACTCCGTAGCGACGGATTGACTCAGCTCAGGCCTAGTCAGAGTCTTTGGGGGCCTACTAAGTAGAGGGCTCCTCTTTCTGGACCACGCCATCGGAGTGGACGAGGAAGCTGCAATTCCGTGCTGTGGGACTCGACTAGGCCCAAGTTGGGTCCAAGTCCCAAGAGGATCGACTCACCGTGCACGGACGGCTATGCCGGTCCTACCATGGTGGTTCTCCACGATTCTCCGCATGGCAATGAGACTTAGTTCTAGGTCTACACCGGTCTTGGTAACTGATAAGCCACTGGCCGGTCGCCCTAAAGGGCAGCTTGTACGGTAAGATATTCGTACTTGTGTCAGGGCGTCTTACCCAGCCTCTGGGACCAGAAGTACAAGGCCGGCTACCATTCGGGCTTAGATCGGGGAGGGCGTGTCTCGTCTCGTAGAGGGAGAAAGTAGTCCAGATGGCCAGGGTTTGCTGCCGCCGTTGCTGAACGGGGCTCTAGTGGCCTTGGCTTTTTTCAAGGCAGCTGAACAGGGCGCTGCCTAGATCTTAGTAAGATGATGAAATCAATTGAGCCGACGGAACACAGACGCTGCCACGAAGGGGGAAGACGCCCGACAGACAGGTTTGGAGGGTCTCCTCGCAGCAGAGTGAAAACGTGGATGCAGTGGCCTTCCTGTTTGAGCGATTTGGAAGCCATCATGTGATCCAGCTGGTGAATGACCCCTGCATCATGTGATTGCAAGGAGGCTCGCTCCAACGTCCTTCCCAACGCATCTTCCCCTCCTCCTTCGTTCTTCCCCTCGTCCTTATCCCAGGGAGCAAGCAAGCACTTCGCCCCAGCTGTGTCACCCCCCTCGTTGTTTCATCCTCGAATCCAACGAAAACTGCCACTGCAGGCTCATCACCAAGCCTCTCCACCCCTCCCAATTGGGTCATCTAGGCAGATCGTGAGGAACGTGTCTCTGCACTGCACAACCATGACTTCCTCAGCAAATGTTTCCACACAGTCCCCTCCGCTACCAGCTGATGCGGATGCCCCGCCAACTTTTCAGGAATGGTACTCCTTCGATGCACTCTCCAACTGTTGGAGCCCACTTCCACCCTCTACCTCAGTGACTTGCGATGAGAGCACAAAGTCAGCCTCAGACAAAGCGAAACTGAAGATACCTGCACTTAACCTTGTAACTTGGAATGTAGATGCCTTCGCCAAGTTTCCGATGACCGTATGGCCGGCATCATTTCCACCATACGCAATCAAACACCCCCACCCAACATACTCTTCTTCCAAGAAGTCCCTAAGGCAGCACTGTTTTACCTACTCAATGAACCCTGGATTCGCGAAAATTGGTATTCTAACGAAGGGGACTCCAGCAACTACGGGGGTCTCGCATTCATTACCGTGATACTCTTATCCAAAGCCAGTTTCAGTACAGACAGTCAGGACCCAGACAAAGCATGCCTCGGACCAGTCTGGCGAGTTGATTATCCAAGTAAGTTTGACCGAGACGCTCTCTGCTGTGATGTCTTCATGCCCCAATCCGCTACCCGTGTCCGTTTGGTCAACGTGCATCTGGACTCTCTTGCTTTCCAGCCGAGTTGTCGTCCGCGGCAGCTCGCCATCGTTGCTAATAGTCTCCGTTGTGCCGGGCATGGCTTCGTCGCAGGAGACTTCAACCCTGTCCTCCCAGAGGATGACAGTCTCGTGGCCACCAACGGTCTGGTAGATGTGTGGAACGAGCTGCACCCCGACGAACCGGGCTTCACCTGGGGTCTTGATGGTCGGGAACCTTTCCCTCCAGGACGGTTGGACAAAGTGGCCGTTTTTGGCCTGAAGGGGCAAGAGATGGTCATTCTTCATCCCGGTGCAATCAACAGCGCGGGACAGGGTCTACTGCTACGGCAATTGGATACCCCATTGCCTTGGAGTGACCATTCAGGTCTAAAGTGCTGCTTACGTCTTGCTGAAGAGCCCTTGTAAGCATATCATCAAGCATTCCCTCTAGTCTCTTTCTCTTTAGCTACTCTATGCATTTACCTCTAGAGTAAGGACACACATCTTCCCAGGCTCCCCCCTCCCACCACCCACACACGTGGCTCTACCATCCATTCATCCTATTCCATTAACCCCAACTGGTCAGACGCACCTGTCTATCACTGTATGCGTATAATAGGACAAGACAAGACAGGAAGGGCATGGCTATATCTCCCATGTCCTCCCCAATGCCTATATCTATAACAATGCATCCAATAAGCACCCCATATTTTCTATATACTGTAGTTGTGACAGCTTCATTGGTTGACAACGGATGATGGATGATGGATGCCTTGATCCCAAACCAGCCACCAGCGTCAGACGTGCATGAACGTACACGTCTATATTATCCGTCTTCTTTGAAAAGGAACTACGTGGCTTATCTTGGTTTCCTACTGTAGAGAGCGTGAGAGGGGAATCTGATTTGACATAGTACTTAGCAGTCTTTACCTAAAGAAGAATTAGTTACTCCAGGTACTCCGTATGGTTTATGGAGATGCCTACTGTATGGTTGTTCATAATGGTGCCCAAAATAATTACCACAGTACTTTCATACCGATATTCCCGATAATATAAGCATGATGGGAAAACAATAACTCAATGTCGGACAATTTCATAACCAATCATGTAGTCCCTAATTTTGGGTATATGCACCGGGACGGTAATTATTGACCTGTCTAGTACAGTAGTAGTCGGCCCGGAAGAATGACTACGTCCCGAAAAAGTGACAGCGGCGGTGGAAGAAACCATCATGGATAGTTTTGCCATTATGGGATTAAATAGATTTCATCAAAAAGCTCATCCAAAGAGGTATCCAGGGGAATAAGAAAACACAGACAATTGGCCCCAAAATCGGTGGGGCTCGCAACAAAATGATCATGTCCAAAATCGTCCACACGGACGCAAGCTCAAGCATATAAAACGCCCTCCCAGTGCAGTGCTGATCATCATTGGTGTATCACAAAAGTTGGGACTTCCACATTCAACCCGATTTGTACTCTCAGTCGGTTCTTTTTTCGGACCATCCATACAGGAGCGCTCTCTGCTGCCTGCCTGCCTGCCTGCCTGCCTAACCCAAGCAGGGCGCCGTCTACCTGAATTTGGCCCGGCACCGACCCATCACTTCGCCCTGACAGACTAGCTCTGCGCTGAATTCACTACCATCTAGTGTGAGGTAAATGTCAAAGTACACTCGGTAAAAAGTACCCTGAGGCGTGTCCATGCGCTCGAAATCGGTCTCCAAGTTCTTACGGGACAGATCGGAGGTGAGGGTGACGACTTCCTTGATACCTGCATTCAACGTTAGCACCCCATCAACAAGGCAGCCAGTCCGAAATGCAAACTTACGTGGATCCTTAGTGTACTCTGGACAAACATCCTCATCGCACGCGTACAGGATATCCTCGTACATGAGGGTCGCTCCCGGCGCAACCTGCCGGAAAAAGCTCACCTTGACAGGCTCGCCGATTTTCACCCGCTCGCCCTTCTGCACGAAAATTTGCCTTGTGTACTTGCATCGGTCGCGGCCGTCAAGACTAGGAACACGGTATTGCTCGGGGTGATATCCCTCCTTGAAGGGTTGCAGCGTGGCCATCAGGTAATGGCGTCGTGCTACACGGTGTGTAATCACCCGTTCGGTGATTCCGGCAGTTACGGCACCTTTGACAATGGCAGCGACCGAGTCCATCGGTCGGACTACCTTGGACTGATATTGTGGAGGGACGTGGAGCTTGATCTGCTGGAAAAGATACTCCGAGGCACCGAAACCACCAACAACAAGGACGTTCTGCAATTCTGGTTAGCTTTCCAATGCAGCTGGGCGGACGGATGGTGGGTACAAACCTGAAGTGACCTGTTCTGCGCTTGGATCGCTATGATTTGATTGCGCACCAGCTCAAGGATCCTATTCACGACGGGCTCGAAGCATTGCAGGATCTCCTCGTTAGTGAACGTCATGTAACCCTCCTCGATGCCTGCGTCGGGGAAGTCGGCTTCAATTCCGACATCCACTGCCCATTTCTGGCCATTGTTGCGGAAGTCGGCCTTAATGCGGTTCTCAAAGTCCATGATACATTTGGCATAAACCTTGCCTGCCGTGCGGGAACCATCCGGCAATTTCATCTTGCGAATCTTCGCACGGAGGATGTTGCTAAAGTTCCGGTTGAGCGCGGTGGAACCACACGAATCTCCAGAGCCCGCGGTGCATTCCGCGACGCTGAACGGTTGCTCTTCTTCGACCTCATACGCAATCAAGTCGACCGTACCACCTCCACAATCGACAATCAGGATGGCGTCCCCAATCTTGAGGTTCAGCAGACCGGTCTTGGCACAGAAAAGTGCCGCTGCCTCGGGTTCGGAGACCAAGGTTAGGCGGTTGTCATTCTCGTCTCTCAGGAAGCCGGCCTGGAGGGCGGCGGCTCGTGTTGCTGCTTTCCCAGCATCGTTCCAAATGGCCGGTACGGTGATGTAGTACCGAATGTTTCGCTCTTCACGGGTAAACACTTCACCCAAGGTCTTTTGGAGTTGGGCCCGCATGGCCTGTCGCAGCTTGAAGAGGTAGTCGGCGGCGACATCGATCTCCGACTTGCCCGGAGGCAAAGGCGGCAGGTTGATGGGGTCAATGTACGTGTTTCCGGAGAGCATCAGCTGAAGCTTGAACCACTCGACTTTCTGTACCCCTTGCTTCGGGTATCCGGTGGGGGCCAAAGCATCAGCGATATCCGGGCCCCAACCCACCACCTTTTGGTACTGATCGTAGTACAGAACGGTCGGAATCTAGACGAGCCAAGCAAAAAACTCTGGTCAGTAAGCTGGTCATGTGCGGAAGTGAGGGGGTTGGGGGGGGGGGGGGAGCGCTTCTCGGCACCTTTTGTTTGGTGTGAGTGCCTGCGCCAGGCCACTCTGTGATGATGTCCTCTCTCGCCTCGTTGTTGGTCGCGAATGCAAAAGCCACACCGGAGAATGTCGTGCCAAAATCGATTCCCACAATCAACTGAGCTTTACTCCGGCCGGCGCCTTCTACTTCGACGGCGGGGTTCCGCACGCCGTACTGGGGTTGGTGAAGGCCGGGAGCCATGCCAGGACCGAGCTGCTGTTGTAACCCGTAGCCGGGGGGAGCACCCATGGGGGCCATGGAGGACTGAGGATACGGTAGGTTGGTGTTTAACGGCGGAGGGTGGTGAGGCATAGGCTGGCCTGGCGGCAGAGGGCTGGTGGGCCGGCCGGCGGTGTTGTAGGTGTAGCTCGGGGGGCGCCCCAAAGTATTCTGGTTATTCATGGGGAGGCTGGTGGTCGAGGAACTGGTACCGGAGGGAGGAGAGCTGGGCGAAGTGACCGAGGAGGGAGCGGCGACGAGGGTGTTGGTAGAAGGAGTGTTCACAGGTTGGCTGTGCTGCACAGGCGAGTGATTCTTGTTGCGCTTCGTCCCGAAGGTGAACGATTTGAAGTTCAACCGTGAGCTCATCAGGTCGATATGGAAGACCGGATGATGGCACGGAGGGAGGATGCAGATGGGGGGAAAAGAAGGGAAGGAGGGGAGGGAATGCGAGGAGAGGAGAGGAAAGGGAAGGAAGAGGGGGAGGGGGGGAGGGAAAGAATGGAGGGAGAAAGAGGGAGAGGGAGAGGGAGAGGGAGAGAGTAAGCGGGTCAGATGGGTTAAGGCAGCAGAGCAAAGCAGGTAAGAACGAAGGACAAGAGAAGGGAGTGAGTTGAGTGACTCTCTCTCCTCCCCCAAAAGGAATGGAATGGGAATGGCAGGAAAAAGTGGGCGTGGAATTGATTGAGGCGGAGTCGGGGAAAGAAGAGGAGGAGGAGGAGCAGCAACAGTTTAAACTAAACACAAACAGACGGGAAAGTTAACTGAACTTTGTCACCAAGTTGATTGCGGGGGAGATGCGATGCGATGAGAATGTCAAGGATCGGGAAGATTCAGCCTCGAAAGGGGGGGATGGAAAGGGTAAGGGTAAGAAAAAGAGAAAGCGAAAAAGAACCCAACTAAACGCCCAGCTAATGAACTAAGTCACTAACTAACTAACTAACCACCATTGCTTATGAAGTGAGATTTGGGATTGATTTGATGGCAGGGAATCCGTGCTCTGGAATGATTAAATTGAGAGGGTCGCGATAACGCCCGACTATCCGGATGTCTTGTCTGTCAACCCTGGATTCCCCTTCCCCAAATTCTCCGACTACTCTCCTAATGACTATACTAACTCTCAGGGTCTGTCTTGACGGGTCTGGATGCGATCAAAAGAAAAAAAGAAAACAATCCAAGTAATATAGTTTTTATCTCGACCAGATAAAGTCTGGTAAATTTATGATTGAACATGATTCTTTTCTCAGCCTGATTCTAGTATGGATGTATGATACCATACGGTACGGTATGGTCTGATACTGAAAAGAACTCCAGTCAAGTTGGCCTCAGCGTAAGGATCCCCTTCCGAGAGATTGAAATTGATTCGATTCATCTTCCACAAAACAACCCCCGTCTACAGTGAGATGAGAGTAGGTAAAGCGCGTGCGATCATCCCGATTGACAACCTCCCCAGCCTCCTCATCTACAAACCCAAAGTACTTTTGTTTAAATCGAGATTGACACCCGATGATCCCTTATTATTGTTGAGCCGATCCGTCTTCTTGTTGTGGGTGGATCTGCATCTGCCCGGACTGTGTCCTTTGTTTGGCCGTCCACTCCACTCATCTCTGAACTTACTAGTATTTACTTAGCCTCCCATGGACGGAGTGGACACACTCCAAGGAATGGCCCCAAGGAACCGGCGGGTTCAGCCACGCCCGCTAAGCCTTCGCCAGCCTTGTCTGTCTGTCAACTGTCTTCTTCCCTCTTCTTTGTTTCGTTGTCTGCGGCTGAAAATCTGTGTCCCGTATCGCCGATCTGGTTTTGTTTCCGTATGGTATCTTTCATGACACAACACCAGACCAACATCCCACATCTTTTGTTTCCCTGTTGACTGGCTGCTTGCTTGCTTACTCCCGACCGACACCGGCCTGTTTTGATGGTCGCCATCATCATCATCATCATCACCTGCCATCATCTACTAGACTTCAATAAAATCAGTCGTATATAACATTCTTTATACATTTTGTTTCCGTGCTACCCAATGCGACGGCCGGTACAACGGCTGCAACATACTGTCCGGGTCCTGGATATATCCACACATGGGTCGCTCGTGCGGCGCCTCGCGCTTCTCGATCGCAAAGCCCATTCGCTCCACGAGGCAAAACACTTCTGCCTCCGTCAGCTCCACATTCCCGGGTTCCCCAATCCCCTGGTCACCCTGGCCCTCCTCACTGCCTCCGTGCTGACTGCGGTTGCTGCCGTCCTCGAAATGCCACAATAACGGTCCAACGTTGATCCAGAGGCCGTTGGGCTTGAGGCAGTGTCGGATCGCTTCGACATACCGGATGAGATTCGGCGCCGTGTCAATGAAGAACACCGTCGCCACGGCATCAAACACCTCTTTATTACTGGGGTTGGTGTACAACACAGTAAAGTCGGCAGCCGACATGCTCATGCGCCCAAATGGCGCCGAATTCGCCTGGGCTTCAACCATGGCCGTACCCGGATGCTGATCCGGGATCTTGACCTCCTGCAGCTGTTGCTCACGAGACAGGAGATTCGAGAAATGCAGCGCAAATGGATGCAGCGCGTGTTTCCGAGGGCCGAGCGTGTGGTTTAGAATCCAGCTGCTCGCCAGCAACTGGTGGTAGGAGATCTCGTTTCCTTCCGCAGCGAAGCCTTGCCGACAGATCTCAAACACCAGTCTCCCCAGACCGGCGCCAGGAACCAACACCCTGACTTCGTCCTCGTTTTCCGAGGACCCAATCCGGGCGCCGAACTCGTCCTGCAAGTCGGACAGCACAGGGCCGTAGCAGACGTCTCGCTCTGCTTGGCCTTCTTGACTCCAGTCCCGGTAGAACTGTCTCAGGGTGGAGTGCGCCTTGTTGACATCGGACTGAGTGGCCGTCCCGTGCCAGTTCTCACGCGGGTCATTGGGATCAGGGTTCGCAGAGAGCCCGAACGACGAGAGACCGGTGGTCAGGATGGCATCTGCGATGTCGGCGTTCACGTCGATGGCGTCATCCACGCGGTTAAAGTTGTCGAGGATGGAGAATGGCGGCTCAGACAACATCTGCCAGTGGGCAGATGGTAGGGCATAAAATGCCTGACGACGACGGTGAGTCGTGTTCATGTGCGCCGTTCTCCGATATTGCCTGAGGGTGTTAGCAACGTAGATGACATGCCAGCGGACTACCACCGATCATGTTCAACCGGGTCACATAGCAAGTGACTCACCTAAAAGAATCAAAAGCAGCGAAGAGCACACGGCGCTCGGCATTATCAGCCAAGGGGTCGAAATCGCCCGACCAGCTCCGAATTTCATCTGGCTCGTGCTCGTCCATGGTGCAGTGACTAGCAATTCGTATAATCAGCAACCTAATCCCCAATACTAGACAATTCCGTAGCCAAGTAAGAATAGATCTACCTACTTACCTACGTTCAAAACCTACTGTAGCCAAAGAAAGAACAACAGTGGTAACCCAAAAACCGTCGCACAGAATGCCTCGGGGGACCCGCACAAGAAACTCACTGACTTTTGGCGGGGAAAGATGCGGACCTCAAAGCGGTGATGCAGAAACCAAACCACCAAACTTCAACCCACTGGCTAGCTACTAAGCACACAACCATCTTGAACTACATACCACAAACATACTCAAGAGATACTCAGCACCTGCACACCCCATAATAATACTATCTCATCTCTAGATTTGAAAAGAAAGAAAAAGAAAGATGACAACAGAAATCAAAGAACTCTCCCTCCCCCTCCCTTACACCCCCCACACGACCGCCCACATCCACCTCACACGACACCAAACCTGCAGCACAGTATTCCTGACCTCGTCGACGCCGGGTGATGCTGCAGGGAGTATCAAGCCGATGGGGAGTTTTGTTTATGCGATGCCGGACGTGAGTAGTCCATCCTTGCTATTTCCCCCTCCCCGCCTTACTACCAGTTTGCTTCTCGCCATTATGAACATACGCTCCTTACTATATATACCCATCAATAGCATCATATCCTAGTATATATACTACTAGTATACTAGCAGTGATGGTATAAAACGATCTAACGACAACTGCAGAGAATGAATTCCAAAAACGTGCTATCAACAACCATCTACTCCTCCCCGGGAAGTGTAGAATACACAGCCCGAATTGCGAAAATTCTCGCAAGGAGAATGCAAACGCCTGTTTATGTGGGCGGGAGTATTGAGCCTGCCACAATGGGGGTGATGGCTGAGGAGGAGATTGAGGGGGTGAAGAGGATTGTGGAGGTTGTTGTTCGGGGGTGGGAGGGGATGAAGATATGAATTTATCATGTTTTGTGTTTATTTTGTTAGGTTGGAGGGTTCTTATGGTGGTGGTGGTAAGTAGGTAGTAGTAGTATTGGAAGGAAATGGATGATGGATGGATGATGGATGGCATTGGGGGAGTTGGGTGTTCCTCTATTGATTCTCTCTGCCTGTTGGTTTCTTGTCCTAGTTCTGAGTGATTGTTTGTATTTGATTATCAATATATTCATAATATAATACTCATGTTAATAGTACAGAGTACTATGATCCTATTAACTCAACAAACGAATATACCTCATCTCTACACATCGGATATTCCGACACACGACACTCACACCTCCGATATAACCAGCAACCAGTAACCAACCAACCAACCACATAACCACAGTTAGCACTGCAAATTAAATACGAAGAAGCAATAACCAACGTCCAGTCACTGCAACGGACCTACCACCTCCGCCCCCCCCAATCCACCCCCATTTCTAATTCCAATTCCAATTCCCTCAAGCCCGCCCAAATCATCTCCTCCGTACTAAGTACGTACGTAGTCTACCGGCCCAACTATCGGAACCACCTCCGATCAACATTTCGGGGCTATCTACCCACTAACCACTACCTACCTAGTACCTATCGTGGAGCTGTCCCGTTTGATTAGAGGCTTAGCTTGGGCGTTATTACTAGTATAGATTAATCATTTAGCTAGATAGTAACAAACTAACTAACTAGTTAGTAGGTGGTGAATGGATCAGTCGAGTCAAATTTGTCCGTGTAGGTGTTTGTCCTCGCTAATTGACTGACTAGCTAGTTAGCTAGCTTACTTAGTTAGTTGACTGTTGGGATTTGAGAACTATCGTCATAGCCGAGGCGAAGCACGACACTACTTATCTACTATCCACTATCCTATACTATGGAATAGGTAAGAAGTAAAGGAGGAGGAGGAGGAGGAGGAGGAGGAGGAGGAGGGAATATGTAGACAGGTCGGATGCTGTGCGTAAGATATCATGATCATGCGTTGCTTGATTTATTTCATAGTTACAAAGTAGACTAGTATAGATTAAGGAGTGGGCTGGGTGCATGTTAGTGATACTTCTTTCATATTCATTTATATCCTTGCTCAGTAGTAATACCCTAGCAACTAAGTAATCTGCATCAACAAAAATGCCTCACATCTGACGGATAACTGTATATTACTGCATCAATTAGTCCAATTCAACATACGAGTCATTTAGTATCATCCTAATGTGATATATTGGAAGCACTGGCCCCCGGAGAAAGACTATCCCCAGGAATACTACTAAATACAAAGCCCTCGCAGACTAGCCTAGCGCATGTCCGACATAGATAGTACTAGCAGGTAGTAGGGCACGAGCATCGCTTAGATAGTGATACTAACTAACTTGCAATAGCCGACGATACTGCACAAGTATACTTGATATAACTATTCAATCAATTGGCCTAGATAAGAACTAATCTTCTCATCGAACCAATACTGCATGATTACATCAAATGCTGATTGAGTTCGCTTCCTTTCCTCGGAGTCGAGGAGTACTACGTAGGTAGAGTAAGTAATCATCGCTCAATCCCTCATAAGCATTGACCCGGCGATCTCGGAATCTTTGGTTTATGAATGTATTGAGCACTACTTAAACTACTAGTATCTACTTCCAGTGTGTTAATATGAATCTCGCAAGATGCTTACACTCGGTAGAAGAATATTGCATATTGCTATTGTTCGTAGTAGATACTATATCACATATTAAACCATACATAACTGCAGTATCCCACACATACATACATACAATTAACAACACCGTACTGCGTAACCGGCATCGCCTATCTAAGTACTACGTAGTACTACTCATCGACAGATCGATCGATCCAAAAAGGATATGACCTCACTCTTCCCATCCCAAGTGGAATCAATTACGACGACAGAGAAGATAAAATCAAATCAGCTAATACGACTGGCCCAAGCAACAATAACAACACCAAGAGGTCAATGCATCCATCCCCCACGTGGACTGGTCGTGATGCCCCCCCCCCTGCTCACGCGCATTCATCAATCATTGGACATTGAGCCGACCGAAGTGGTGCCGAGGGCCGGTGGACAAGCAGCATACAGATTACAGAGATGGGTGCGGGAAGAAAGAGGGGGGGTGGGAACGAAAAAGGATGAAATAGGAGGCACAGTGGCAAGAGGGTGTGTCTGTGAAAGAGAGACCCTTGTTGCTGTGTGGATTAGAAGGTTAGTCCCGGTGACCGGAACTCACCGAATTTGGCGTTTGCGATGGACGGGCTTGTATGGACGGATAGGTTTCCTGGGCTGACACCTCGGGAAGATACTTTCTTACTTGGCTCGCTACTAGATAGTAGTAGTAGTAGTAGTTTACGTAGCCGCCAGAGGAAAATGAGAATTAGATAGATAGAGAGGGAGGGAGGGAGGCGAGATTAGTATACTTTTGGTAGTAGTAGTAGATACCTATCCACTCCCTCATGACACCGCCCCTTCAGCATTAGTTAGCATTGGAAATACGAAATGATTATCTAGTAGAAGCGATGCAGGGTCGGTCTGGCCAGACAGCTAACTACTAAGACAGCTAACTACTAAGCTAGCCAAGACTTGCCGTGGGATGTAACAGGGAAACTGACTAGTAAATCAGCGCGTGCGCAAAAGAGGAATTGGGAAAGAGATGAGACTATCATCTATCCACCATATCTATCTCAAGAAAGATGGTTACAGGATGGGGTGCAGCGGCAGACTGTCACGGGATGGACCGTCCACATGGGGGATGGATAATAGAGGCCGGAGGGAGGGGAGGGGGGAGAGGGGGGGGAACCGGACCCTGGGAATTGATTGATTGTGCGCTGCTAGCAGAGCAAGAGAAAATTATCATTCACCCAATAATAATCATCCGGTCAGTTACCCGGTGGTTGTCTTCAAACCGGACCACATTAGCATTAGTCTAGTACTGTACGTATCTAGCCATACTCCAAAGGGATCCTTTCCCGCCCGGCTGTCGGAATCTGCGCCCATTTCTATGCGTTTGACTGGCTGCTAACTTTAGCTCACCGGAAAGTGCGACTGGCTGACATGACATCGCCCCCCCCCTCGGAGTCTCGGAGACGGATTGGGAAGAGAGATCACGACTATCGTAACCATCTCTCTCCGCCTTGTTCTTAATCATCTTGTTATAGGTCATAAGGAATCCCTATTAATTCCTCGTGTATACTGTGTGATCGATCCCATTGGCGTCGACTATCTACTTACCCCTCAGGTGGCTTGTCTTATCATGGGTGAATGATGATGATGGTGTTGATTTAATTTCCGGTCATCTCCAGGACCGTCAAGACGGGCTCTAGAGGTCTAACCGTATCGTCGCATCGTTAGAGATCTCGGTTAGAATATCCGGCCCGGCTACGTTACATGCTACCACCACCTCTCCGGCCTTACCAGACTTGCAGTCGCTAGTCATCCTTAGTCACGACCTCTTAATCTCCTTTTCATTCCCCCTGGTTGATGGTCGAGATGACGATATTTGCGGTGGATATTATTGAGAACTCTGCTTCGTGAAATGGGCATAACCAATGTGGTATCCAGCAATCGACATCGGAGCCTAGGCTCACCATCAGGCATCTGAGCACACCTGGCTGATACTGATGCGGGGACCCAAGCCCACGCATCATCTCGACACGAGCCTAGATGTCCAGCTAGAGCTGTCCAGGTTCCTGAGCCGAGCTTCCAGCCAACGGGCCGTCATGCAACCAACCCGCAGGCCTCAAAAACGAATCCTTCCGCGACAATAGACCTCGCGACATCTTACTCCGTACTATGCTTTGCTAATCCCATTAGTATGACCGGGCTGTGCGCCTGGCCCTCCACAAAGGGATAGGCCTGAGCGATTGATTGTAATGTTCGAGTCGATAGGCCCAGAAGCAGACCGAAATTATCAGAAACAATGATCAGAGTAATACTTTCTAACAAATCACGAAATGAAGCATGAGGGGCCGAAAAAGAGAAAGCAAGGCTTCTAGCCCACGGCACAAGACAGGGGGGAATGCGTAACCTGCACCGACGAGGAATGCGGATGTTGTCCGTCTGTGTGACCTGGCCCAGTAGATTGGCTGGGGATATCATTTCCGTAGCAGACAGGGCAACATTTTGTGTGTGTGCGCGTGCGTGTGTGTCCAGTAGAAAGAAATAGCAGCATGCAGCTGGATCCATGATGCGGCTAGAGCTCGTGCCCACCCCGCCCAACTTCTCTGGTTCTGCGCAGGCACACGACGGTCATAGTCGGCGCTCGGTCGACGGTCATCGCGACTCGGAGCTAGTCCTCGTGCTTCCTTGAAAATATGTAGGTACCAGGAAGATGCGTCAGTTACTGGGCTCACCGGAATCCGCGAGCCGAAAGGGAAAAAGTAGTAGAATGGTGCCTAACCAAACATCATCCTCGTCAGCTAGCCACTCGGAACACGATGCCTACAGTACGATCGATGGCTGGATTCAGACATCCCCGAGGGAGCGTCTGCTGATTATCAGTGCGACAAGCAATGGACCCTGTTTCCACTATTTTCCCTTCCGTTTAATTGTTGGATCGACATGACCGTCAGGAGCCCGAGCCTTGATGGATGCCGCGCACACAGACACAAGACACACCACTAGATACTGGGATAGGGATGCCAAGTTCGACTACTTGATGATAGTCTCTCGCCCGAGTCGACGGTTGAATGGCAACTGCTGAGGAGAAGGAACATATGCCCGCTTATTGGTCCAGAGATCTGACGGCTAAAGCTAGTCCACGGGCCAGGCTGACGGCGGTGGATGGCAAGTGATACGGTGACCACACAAGCCTCAAAAAGCCTCTCGAAGACAAATGAATTGCGTAGGAGAAGGCGCCAAGCGAAAATTCTGAAGAGCTAAAGAGGATAAGATTAACCGGCCAACAGTAAGGAAAAGGGAAAGAGGGGAATCCGGAGAGAGAAAAAAAGGAACGAAAAATTTCCCATTAGATCCCGCATACTAAACTACATTCAGCAGGAGCAAGAATATGGCAAAGGCCGAGGAATGGCAATCATAACCAAATTCTAGGCGAACCGATCTCTCTCTCGCTCGCTCTTTTTAATCCGTAGAGGAAAAGTAAATCAGAAAATAGGAAATAATAAATAATAAATAATAAATTATAAATAATCAATAAAAGTAAAAATGAAACACAAAAACGATGGGCCGGGGATTTTTCGCTCTGGCCACCACCCGGGCGGTTTTCTCCGTGTTTCGTCCGAAGCTGGCGTCACTCGTAGGACTCCAACTCCGCCACGGTGATCCAAAGTCATCGTCAGCCAGCAGCAACAACAGCAGCCAGCAGCAAAAAGCAGCTCACCGGCTCAATTGACAGAGACAGAGAACGATGCCCAGAGACAGAAAGAGGCACTAACATTGTTATTATTCCCCATCGCGTAATATGCAGGATTTGCGGTGGAACTTGACCACGGTTGCTGCCTCGTGCGTCCATGTGGCTCGGCCAATAGGCTCTGTCCGGAGGCGGGATTCCGAGTCGATCGTCAGAACGATGCTGAACTGCTCGTCTGGTACGGGATGGTTGTAGTAGACAGTAGTCTAGTAACCAATAAAAATGATGCTGCTGCTGCTGATGAATGAGTGAATGAATGTCTTGTCTCCCCTTGCACATTCTTCTACTCTCGGAGACATGTACGTATGCCCTGTAGAGTTATGTAGCACCCTGTTCATCCGAGTCAACCCGCGGGAGTCACTGACTAGTACCCTGTAGTACTACTAAGTAGGGTCCGGCAATCGTGGCGCGCGCAGGTTACTGTCCGACAGCCAACCATTCTGCTGGAGACTATCGAACTGTACGGCCCGAGGGCAAATGCGCCTCCGACGACGTTTCAGGAAACACATCCCCAAAATCACGCTCATCCCTCCCACGTACTCAGGGGGGGAAAAACCAGCAACACACGGACTCCATCAGCATCGGTGAGGAGAATTAAGAATAGTAAAAACGATCCGCTTCAATATCCAATCAAACCGTTGAGGAGCCCCATCGACCAGGTGGTAAAGGCGGCTTTGACTTTCCATGTCTCCGTCATCACTGTGACCTCCTGGGACACGCCAACCAACCCAAAATAGCAAGCTGATGGGTAGATGCGAAGAGGAGGGGGGAAGAAGGAAAGTGGAAAGCCACTCGGCTTTGACGACTCCCAGGGCTCCATCCATGGATGGAGAATGGGGAGGGGGGAAGGAGAGGACAGGCTTACTGTAGACAGCCTAGCTAACAGTTGGACTGCCAGGAGTTGCCGTAATGATCATCAGCGAACCACGGCGGTTCCAGGCTGAACTGGAAGAAGAGAGAGACGTACCAATCCAAGCCCGGCCAAGGCCAAATGCCAGTCCTGCCCAGAACAACCTGATCCATGTCAATTCCGCCTCATGGATTACAAACTAGAAAAAGACTAGTCAAGGGCCAAGGAACCTCCTCAGCTGCAGGTCAGAATTTAAGCACGGCGTTGCTCTCCGTACCGACGAATGTCAGAAGTCAGAACCATAGCTAAAATCCCCTTCCAACTACTCTCAACCGTTCTTCCGTCCCAGCCTCTGGGAAGCTCAGCCGTTCCGCCCTTTTCCTGAGTGGGACCTCGTGGCCCATGGATTCACCAAGAATAATTTTTCATTAATTCCTGGGCATTTCGAAGATGAAAAAGAAATAAAGAAATAATAGAAATACAAAAAGGTAGAATGAAACCAAATTCAGACGAGCAGACAGGTAATGAAAAAAACAATTGTGACGGACACGTTGTGGATAGCCGGTACCCAGGAAGACACTGCCACTGTCGATCTCGGGATACTCTCAACTAGCCAGAGGTCTGATCCTCTACTAAGAACAACCAGCTCAACAGTCAACAGCCTGTGGGCGGGTAAGCGCAACGAAAAAAAAAAGAGAGAAAGAAAGAAAGAGGCCCCCAAGCGATGGACAATGGGGGGAGGGAAAGAAAACGGCGAGCCCAACACGGGAGCTTGTTACCGGAAGGCTGTGGTGCAGCAAAGAGACACACGCGATGACGGGCCGTTGTAGCGCTGGTTGTTAGTACTAAGTAGTTAGTATCTATCTAGCAGTGGGTGCTAACTCGGTAATCCATAATAATAGTAATTCCATGAGGCGCAGGAAGCAATTTAGAAGTCGCAACGATCAAACAAAGAACCCACACACCGGGCTATTCCGTAGGGCCAGTGGTTTTTAATATATGAGAAACATTCGCATCGAGAGACAATAATTTTAGCAGATGGACCGTCGGAAATGGTCCCAGCATCGTCATCGTCATCCCGCTCGTGTTGCCCCTCCGAATTGACCCAATGTGGGATCAGGTTGAAATTCATCTGGCCATCAGGAAAAAGCAATTATCTCATCAATCAGCATTGAATAAGCAATGAGGGGGTGGAAGCAGACATAGAAAAGACCGTAGAAGTACGAAGAATGACAAGAATGACGACAAATAATATAGTATATTAATAAAATAGAGATAAACCCAGACAAAAAGAGTAGAAAGTAAAAAAGTAGAATAAAATAAAAATACATAAAAATCAAAAAGCCCACGCAGGAAAAGCAACCCGCCAGTCAATCAACGGGAACCGGGGCCAAGAAGAAGAAAAATCAAAAATCAAAAATAAAAAATAAATACCAAAAAGAAAAGAAGGCTGTCGGCAACAGATTCCTAAGGATAGACTTCTGCAGTAAGCTCATTTGCTAATCTCCGCACCCCCCTTCGATCCGATTTGCGTAGGCACCTGGTCTCGTTTCAGCCATGGCTTTTGGAATTATTGAATATTTTTGTCAACCGCCGAGCTGCTTAGCACTAAACTCTGTAACCGGGGTCAGCCGAGAGACTTTCGGAGCCGATTCCTGGGCATGGACAGGACCCTGGCGCAGGAGCTCTGGCACGCCATCCGAGGCCTGGTCGCATGCAAAAAGTGGGCAGCGGCGCTTGAGTCGAGCTTGTTCCCTTTCCCCCCCCCTGGTATTGTTGTAAGTAGTGTTCCCCCCTCCCCTCTCTTCTGCTGGCTTCTGCCACCAACGGAATGGACGGAAATTGTCTGGGATGGGTGAGAATGTTTGTAGCAATCAGATACTCTTGCAGAAGCAAGGTTCATGAGAAGACAGCCAGTCTGCTCCAGTAGTGTTGTAGGGGTCTTTGTTTCATAAACCAGATCTAAGTAGGTTACTAGTAGTTAGTAGTAGAAGAGGGCAAGTGATGCTCGGAAACGGGAAGCTGAACTAAACTGAAAACAATCGGATCGAATAAAATAAAACAGTAGTAATAATATTAAAAAATATTATTCCAATTAAAAAATAAATAAAATAAAATAAACAAAATTTAGGAAAATCCCAGAGGCTCCGAGGCGGCGATGAAGGATGGATGACTGACGACGTCTGCTCGTTCTTCTTCTTTAGTAGTTCATCCAAAGTATGATTGAGACTGACTGACGACTGGCTTATCATCCCTTCCATGACTGTCGTTGGCCGTCATTCTCATTCTCTTCCTCTGACACTATATTCAACCTTCGTGGTCCCCGGGCTGTCATTCCCTTCTCCTCTTTCCTTACTACTACAACAATAACAACAACCACTACTACAACCACTACTTACTATTCCTCCTTGCTATCCCTATTCTCTCCTTTGCCCAAAGAAAACAACAATTTGCCCGCGTATTCATCGATTTTGGACTTTACCTTGTCTGCCAACTTCCCAACCCTCCACCTCAGCTTCCGCCTAAAGTACTATCATCTATCATCATACATTCGCCTAACGCTGTGCCCTGACCTCTTGTCTGGTGCTTGGCTTCGTGCCCACGTTCCTTGCAGCTCGTCTACCTCGGTGTTTCTTTCATCTACTATCTTTCCTATTTGGCTGTTGTATGGCTTCAACAGCGCCCACAGGACGACTCATCTCCATCTGTCCGCTCCAACGACAAGAGAGCTACCGCTTCTAGATGACCCCACGGTAGCCCCATCGTCCCAACTTAACTTTCTGGTCTGGAGCATATTGAACCCTGTGGCTCTCTGGTTCGGGTGTAATTTTGGCGCGATCGAGACAGTTCATTGATTGATTGATTTCCATCCCCCTCCCATTTGCCATCTTTTGCCACTGCGGCCAGCTTCCCGATTCAATCCACACTTTCTCGGGCCTCTTTCTGGGTTGGCGCTCGGGATTTCTGCCGTCGATTCGGGGTCCAATAATTATTCCTACCTCTTTTCCCCTCCCCATCGTTGTTTGCTGTTGCAGCTATCATCATTCTGCACTAGTGTCGCATTTTGAGTTGCACACTATAGGAAGGACAGTTTCCCCATCGGCTTGTGCTTCTCACCTTTTTTTTTTTTTTTTTGCTCGCTTTGTATCATCCAGATCCCCCCCGCCTTCCGTGCTTCTTCCATCGGACGAGCGGGCAGCTTCGTCTGGTCCGCAATCGCTCCGGGCTTGCACAACCCCCCTCCTCCTTCTCCTCCCCCTCAAGTGTCCCCCCTTATGAGGTTGCATTGCGGGTGTCGACATGCAGACGCACTACTATCATTCCTCGAGTAGCCCGAACCAACCAGGAGGGTCATATGAACTTCCTCCGGTGCACGCGGTGACCTCGCCTCCAGCTCCATTTCAACCGCATGGGCCCGCACCTGCTCCTCTACTCTCCGCTCCGCCGAGTCGACCCGACAGCGGGTTGAGGATGGCCCATCTACTGCAACCGTTGGCACAACATATGCCCAATCCCCCACCTCCTCCCGTTACGAACGCTCCTACCTACGCTCGTTCATACGAGTCGAGTGGCTCTCCCGCTGAAGGCGCATCGATGCTCGCCGATGCGCCTCCCCTCAATGGTCCCGGATTGCTTCAACCGATGGGCGGAGGTGCTGCGGCTGGACCGCACCCCCATCATCAGTCACAGCAGCCTTTGCAGCAAAAGAGGGCCTATCGACAGCGAAGAAAGGACCCCAGTTGCGATGCCTGTCGGGAACGCAAAGTCAAGGTACGTTACGCCGCAGTGAAGGTGACCCTGGTGGTCGCCCTCGTGAACCCAGCATGGCTCATTCAATTTAGTGTGACGCTTCCGAGTCGTCCAGTTGCACAGAATGCACCAACCGTAAGGTGCGCTGCCAATTTACAAAGGAGACGAATCGACGCATGTCTTCAATCAAGTTCGTGCCGTGGCTGTTGTATTTGTGGGAATCTTGCCTTTCTAATTTGACTGCAGGCAAGTTCAAGACCTCGAAAAGCAGCTGCTGTCGACCAAGCAACAACTACAGCAACTTCGGTCGGGCATGTTACGATCGGACAATCTGATGGATCTGGATATTGATGGTGCGGGGCAGCCTCAGCTAAAGCTTCCGGACGCCGGGTGTCGTCCCCCGCGCCGGCCACAAGCGCCTGTGATGCAGGATCTGGCCGAGGCTCGCGCAAATCTGCGAAAATTCGGCAAAGGGATCCTGAGGGTGCCACCTCCATACCGTCAGCCGGGCCCCAAGTCCTTGATCACCGCTGATCCTCCACGCCTTCCCCCGAAGGAGCTGGCCAATCGCTTGCTGGGACAGTATTACGCTTGCATTCACTCCGTCCTGCCTGTAATCCATTGGCCGACTTTTGTCGCCCAGTTTGAGGAGGTCTACCAAGCAGGAACCCTCCTCGGCGTGCCCCGTGAATGGGCCGCGGTTCTATTTGGAGTCTTTGCATGTGGGCGTTTGCACACCCTGGACGCGAATCAGGAACAGGAAGGCAAAGAATTTGTGACCGTCAGTTGCGGGGTGATTGATGTATGGCAGGACAACTTCACCCTGGACCAGGCACGGGCGGCGCTGCTGGTCAGCATTTTCTTGTACGAGGTTAATTCGCAGTCAGCGAGTTGGGTCTGGATTGGGTCCGCCATCCGAGTCGCGCAGGAGATTGGCCTGCATTTGGAGTCGGGCCCTTGGTCCCCTCTGGAAGGCGAGATGCGGAAACGGTTATGGTGGGGGATGTACACCTGGGATAGGTATGAGCTGCCAGCGATGGTTCACTCATTCGATATCCGGCTAACAGTAATTGCAGGCTACTCGCTTTGGAGATGGGGAAACCAGTTCTCATCAACGATCAAGACTGCGACGTGGGCCTCCCGTGTCCCATCGACGAGCAATATCTTTCAGACGGGGGCGTGGTGCCGGAAAGCCCCCAAACGTCCCCATTACTGGCCACCATTCATGTGGTTCGATCGATCGGCCAGCTGTCCCGAACGTTGAAGAGTCCGACAATGAGTCTCGGAACCCTTGAAACTTTCGAACGACACTTTAGCACCTGCCTCGCAACCTTCCCTCCTCAATACCACCCTACAGCCGACCAGTATCTCGACCCCCGCACCCTCGCCCCGATTCTCTACCTCCAAAATGCTCGCTTGATCCTCCACCGCCATAATATCTCTCCTTTCTCTCCTCCTGAAACTCGAACATCATCATTGGACTATTGTGTTTCCACCGCCCAGGACACCGCTCGCTTACTTTCCCGCTGTATGCGACCACCATCCAGCCCTGGAAGTGGGTTTACGGCCACGAACGGTGACGATTGGAGGCCCCTGCTGGCGTCCTCCGCAGGAACCATGCTGTGTGTGCACCTCTGGCGCTGTGCACTTCTACTCCTCTTTCGCCAGGATTTCGCTTCTGCTCTCGTCTGTGTCCAGGCGTGTGCTGCTATTGGTGATTCGCGCGCCGTGAATATGGCCTGTGGACGCTATCTTGCGTTCTTCCTCAAAGTGGTTTTGGACCGGCTACGGCGCAACGAATTAGCAGTGCTCGAGCGTGACGAAGAGTTGATGGTTTATGTATCCGGCGACATGCAAGGAAGCGCCGAAGGTAACTGGGTCTGGCAGGGCAGTGAGACCGGCTCGCAGCTGGAAGTGATGTCGCCCAAAGTCAGCAGCCCGGTGGCATATTCCCATTCGGAGGCCAACGCAGGGCCAGAAGGGTGGGAGGGGTGGAAGTGGGTAGAGCAGACGGTGCAATACCTCCACGAGAGACAACAGCAGCAACAACAAGATCTTCAGCATCGTACCAAGCCCGCGGAATCGGCATATCTTGGGCCGGAATCAGCCACCGCGAGCTCTGATGCGACGACTCCGCAGTCGAGCTCGTCTCATTCGCGCATGACCATCGCGAGCATTATATGAGACCCGCTCGCGATAATGCCACACACAATGTGGCAGATATGAGCATCATAAAAACCAAGTCCTTCACTTTTGAATCCGGACGAAGCTTAACGTCCGGACTCGCTACGAAGGCGACTCACCGGCCGCGCCATGAGAGCGAGCACGCGAGGGTCCCGTTTCCCTCAGATCCGACAATACCCTTGTCCTACTCAAAACTTGTATTACTGTTCCGGCAATTGTGGGAGAACCCCACAGGCATGTGAGATGAGATCATGGATTACGAATTAGCTGCGATGTTTTACCGACGTAGATATAATGTTGGACTTTTTGTATACAGTACACGCGTGTATAGCCGAACCTAGACTTACACCTCTCTCCTTGTCCTTTCAGCCATTACATTTGATTTTTCAATAGCATAGTGCATATTGGACCAGCGTTTACAATTGGGGATGCTAATGCTAATGCTAATGCAATCATCATCACTCTGTCTCATTATTACACGAACAACAGTAGTAGATACTAAGCTAAGATCCTATATAATTAAGTCTCAAGGTTAATGCTCCGTCCAAACCGCGCATACAAGGCCACCTTCAGCTGCTGCAACTCCTCCCGCAGATCACTCAGTCCCTCCTCGAGCTTGCTCACATCGGCATCGACCTGCTCTGTTGCCGTTGACAGCAGAGACTGGGCCTCTTCAAGGGGAAGTTGGAAGAATGCATCTCCGATTTTGTATCTGCATTGCAATTAGCACATCCCCAATCCCCTCCAATTCCAAGCTCTAGCTCGCCTCGGCTCGCAAGAGATAAATAGATCGATGGGAGAGGGAGGGAGAAAAAAAAAAAGAAAGTAAGAAAGAAAAACTTACGGCACCAACTCATCCTCATCCGCCAGCTCCAATTCCGTGGAAATTTCTTCTAAATCTTCTTTATCTTTCTGGAGTGGGTGTCAGATTCAATCTTTCTTTCTTTCAATTTAAGTGTATAAGGGGGTTAGAATAGAATCATAATGCATATGCATATCCATATTCCCCTTTTATTATTTACTTGAGGAAATGCAAGGCAATTAAGAAATAAATGATTAGAAGGGATGAACATACCATCTTCAACTTCAACTGCTCCTCCAGCAGTGTCTCGCGCTGGTGCAGCCGACTAAAGCGATTGATCTTTTCTTGGTCCTCGCGGCGGACTTCGTTGTCCTCGCTGCCCGTGAGGGCTTCGTCTTCTTTGGTGAGCTGAATACATTATTAGCATGGCAAATCTGAATAGTAAAGAATAAGTAATTGGGGGTGTATATGTACCATGCGAGTTTGCATCATCTTGGCGGGGTTGTGGTGGGATGTTTGTTAGGATGGGGATGGAATGATATTTGATTGATTTAATTAATGTGATGATTGTGAGGGGAGCTGGCTTTGGGTGCCTGAGGTTTGTAAGGCTGCAAAGGTTTGGTGGGCTTGTTTTGGGGTTGGTCTGTGCGGGTTCATTGTTGGTGCCTGAGGATAAGGTGGTGGTGATGTGGTGGGTGGGTTTATGCATTGTACTATAATGGTTCAATAAGTGATGAGGGGAGGATATAGGATGTGATATGTGTATTTTGCTATGGTCTTGATGTTCTTTGCGGTGATTCTACTTTGCTATGTCTGTGTGAGGCTGGCAATAGACTTGATTCTACATTGGTTTCATATTGTCACTATGATAGCTGCTATATTGATTTGAAATCACTCCCGGATTCCATATCCGTACAACTAAAAACTACACTTATGCTATGTATTCCCTTTGCAGCAAGAATCGAGATACTTCCATCCCCATCGATTGAATATCGTCAACACCATCTGGTCGTGTGACATCATCCCCGTCAGGTGCCCTCCGCATTGCCGATCACGTTCAGCCGCTGCCACGAGAGATGACTCCAATCGCCGAGCCATCTCGATTGTTTGCCGTCATCTCCACGATCATCTTCGACGGTTCCAACTTTTCTGTGCCTTAACTAGTCAGGTGCAGACGTTGCATGTTCAATCGTTGGTGGTTCAGCGGTGATTGATCCGCTTCGCCTCGGAGAAACCAAGACTCCCGGCCACCGCATCGCCGACCTCCGCTTCGGGAACAGCTCCATCCATACCGTTGCGTCTCCATCTTCTTCATCTTCACTTGCATCTCCTTGGGGCACCTAGCTCCTCTGCACACAACTATAGACCAGAACTGGAAATCAGGGGCTCCAGAATTTAGCGATAGCTTCCCCGTTCATTGTTCTCTACTACTCATACCCCATCAACTGTCGAGCTGAGCTCCGGTCATCACCTATCTGTTTATCAGCTTCATCACCTCCCTCAACCAATCCAGTTCCTCCCCATCAGTAACACACAATCCAACCTTCACCATGCGAATACCAACCGGCCTCTCGACCCTCCTTTTCTCCTCCGCCCTTCTTCCCGGCCTAGCCTCCGCGTCCGGCGGCTTTGACTGCCACAACATCATCGTCGACAGCTACAAATATGACCTCAGCACTCTCGGCGGCGTACACACGCTCTACCACGTTGACGAGACAGAAGACTACGTCGTCAACACAACCTACGTGCTCAACATCTGCAACATCCTCAAGGGCGCTGCCCACCGCGGCCACCTGAAATGCCCGACCTCCAAGAACAGTACGCTTACCCCGTCCACCACCCTCCCCTGAAATCCGTTCCTAGCTCCCATGACTAACACAACCCTTAACAACACAGTCTGCGGCTTCCAATACAAAACCGCTCTCGATAGCCACAAAGAAGAAAGCACCGTCTTCCCCATCGTCGGCCTCGACCACCTCGGTCACGGCACCAAAGACGCTGAAATCACGCGCCTGAAGAAGCTCGATTCCGAACTGGAAGGTCTACTCGTCAAACTCGCCGGAGGCGAATACTTCGACGAAGAACAACAGAAGAAAAAGAACGCGGGCGCCGTGATCGAGTTCCAGTGCGATCCCGACCGGTCGGGATTAGAGGGACTACAGACGACCGAAGACACCGAGGAGGAGCGCCGTCGGCAGTGGCAGCTGAGTCAACGGGCGGACGAGACGAACGGCGACAACGAGAATAATGATAACGGCACTATCCCCGAGGGCGGACGCAGTTTGCAGTTCAAGAGCTTCGGGCCCGCAGATGATGATACCTACGTGCTGAAGCTGAACTGGAGGACGCGCTACGCGTGCGACAATTACAGGGATGAGCCGGGTGAGAAGAACCCCGATGGTGGTAGTGGTGATGGGTCGAGTCATTGGGGGTTCTTTACTTGGTTGATTATAATGTATGTTTTGCCCCCTCCCTCCCTCTTTTTCACAATTATCCCTGTGGAAACCAGGATCGAACTAACGAGATATCTAAATAGTCTCTTCCTCTGCATCGCAGCATACCTCATCTTTGGCTCCTGGCTCAACTACAACCGTTACGGCGCCCGCGGGTGGGATCTCCTCCCGCACGGCGACACGATCCGCGATATTCCTTATCTCTTCCAGGACTGGTTACGGCGGGTGGTTAACACGCTGCAAGGGACGGGATCTAGAGGGGGATATAGTGCTGTTTAGTAGGGTTAGAGATTGATTGATTGATTGATTGACTGATTGCCTATTTTGTTTCTTTGTGTGGGTTCTTATGTTGTTTGCTTGGGAATAGTTGGATGATGAGGTTGTTGCTGGTATTGAAGAGGATGATGATGATCACGAGGATGATTCTATTATATGGTGGGACAAAGAATATGACACGATAAGATAGTATGTATCAGGAATATCGCTATGAGAGGCATGATTTGGGGGAAATATATCAAGTGTAGGAATAATAAGAATATAGCGACTAGTACTAAAGGAAAGCAGGGGTGTAGTAAAACCTGGCAGCCTGGCAACTCTAAATCGGAGAAGTAAAGATAAGAGAGAGTAGTACTAGTTAAGTAAGAAGTTATCTCTGACTACTACTTATCATAATACCTGGCAGTACCTATAGGCGACTGAATCAGATCAAATTAAATATTCCAGCCTTAACATTCTCAACTAATTATCGATAAATGATAGTATCATTTATTGGGCTGTGAAAGTAGTAATAGGGATGATATGATGGCCTCAAAGAGTTTCTTCTATATCCAGTAAGGTCACCAATAAAAATACAAAATAATTACTTAGTTTCCAGGCAATAATTTTCTTAACTATGTCAAACAGCCATCTTCCTGACTGTATGATCTGTCCTATTGCACACACAGCAAGTATGTTGGGGTGAAACCAACGAAAGTCAGACCGCTATTTACTCTTCCACTATGTAACCGCGGCCCCGGTACCTACACCAACACCATCACCATCTACATCTACACTAGCATAAGAAGCACACCAGTATAGCGAATCAATCATATTCCACCATAATTAATTCAATCTCCCACCCTTCCTTTCTTTGCTTGCTCGCTGATTACATTCATGAAAAAGAATCATAAATAAATCCGATCAATCAATCAAAAATAAAAACCAACATGCACAGATCATCATCACATCAAATGGCGTCATCAAAGCTAAGAATTCATCATGCCTGAGCATTCGTCACCCAACATACCATTCCGAAGTTAAAAGAGTGGATTAACCCCTCTTTTCATATCATTCTTCCTCCTCTTCTCATTTAAATCCATCCGGTCCCCCGGTTCTTCGTCCGGTGGTCTCTCTTCTTCTTCTTCTTCCTCCTTCCCCGGTCCCGTAAGGACAACCTGTCATATCCTGACCTGACTCGACCTACACGCGCATGGCAAATTGCTTCAGATACAAGTAATCGGCCATGTTGGCGTCGACGGTCTGTCGGATGAGGTCTGCTGCCTCTGGGCCGTATTTCTTGCGCCATTCGGCGTCCCATTCTTCTTCTGTCTTGACGGCATGGGGCTGTTGGATGGTTGTTAGTGACTAACTACTACTTTCATAGCATATAGACAGCGGGGACAATTGAAGCTGTGTAGGATCTACTGATAACTTACATGCTCTCTAGCAACCAGGCCCTTCGACTCGATCGCATCGTTGTGAAAGCCGCGCCACTTCTCGAACTTTTCCCGAGCGACCTGGTGGTCTTCCTCGGTGTCCCAGCACAGCATGTCAGGGGTATACTCAATGCCCACGCTACGACAGAACGCCTCAATCATAGCCGCCGGCTTCTGCAACATGTCGTCGGCGTCGACGACACAGATTTCCGCTCCGGATTCGTACCCGTTAAGGCCGTTCGTCACCGGTCGGAGTTTGTTGTCGATGTCGTCGGCGTCACGCTCCTGCGTGGCAATGTGGGGGCCTACCAGACGCATGCTACGCAGGTAGTCGAAGGTGCGACGCAACTCGTCGTACCCAGCTTCGGAGGGATCATAGTTGTGGAAGCCAGTCACCTGGTCGAGGGGCGGGATGGTGCAGCGGAAGTAAGAGGGGACACTGTGGTGGGGATCGCGGATGAGAAAGGCAAAATGGAACTGGGAGAGGATCTCCGTGGGCATCACGGTAGGATTGCCAGGCTCGGCTGCCGTGTCATACGGGTACGGCTCCCGGGTGGTGGCCGGTTTCACCGGCGTGGAGTGGTCCAGCACAGCGTGGCCATTCAGCCCATTCTTGGTCCCGTTCTGGACTGGGCTTGTGCCATTCAGCTGCTGGGCGTGGTGGCCGTTGGTGCCAACGGCCGAAAGGGGAGCAGTCTCTCCATTAGACTCGGTGCCCACGCCACGCTTGATTCTGTTCAGAGATGGCGCGATGCTGGCGGGTTTGCCGTATGGCGGGAGGAGGTAGTGCATGATGTCCTTCATGAAAATGCGCTTGCCCTGCTGGTGGTAAGTATCTCGTAGCAACCCAGTAGAGTAAGAATCATGTAGGAAAGTAGAGTGTGAAGGCTCGATTGGGGCTGGTGAGATCCGACGCCATCTAGACGATGACAGTGAGGTGGCTACCTCATGCGATCAAGGGCTTGTAGGAGAGGGGCATTCAATTAGAGAAGAGGGACCTGCGTAGGCATGCAGATGCCGCAGGTCCCCAGCCCATCAAGGGGGGAGGGGGAGGGAAAAGATTGGCAACTGGCCTCTACGATGCAGGGCAAGGACCATCCAGCCGGGATTTTCACCTCGGCCGGGCGCATAATGACAGACAGGAAGGGATGAAAGAGTGTAGAACGCAGAAAGAAAGAAACGCGACCAAGAAGAAGGGTCGGACCTCAGAAGCTTCGCGCTCGATTCTAGCCAGGACGGTCTGGAACGTCGACTGGCTGAAGCCGCTCTCCAGACGAGCCTGTTCGTCGTCGGCGAATCTGGCCGACAGGCGTTCAGGTCCGTAGTAGAAGGCATCACCAAACGGCTCATGGATACACTGGATGGTATCCCGACGGGTCATGAAGACCTGTTGTAGGTGTCAGCAGGTTCTTATTTTCTTGTTTTGTGCTTCATTTTTTTTTATAATTCTTGATTTTTCGGCACTATGGAATGCGAGGATCACGCGTACTCGTTCAAAGGCCGTAGAGCAGGCGCGTGGATGGGTAGCCACGAAGATGGGTTTTTGAGACATCTTGATTTGATGTAATGATGAATGAGCAACCAGGGCTGGATAACTGGCTGGTTCACCAGAGGGAAAAGAGCAGAAATTGAACCGTTTCCGATTCAGATCCGAGTCGATATTTTAAAAGATCAACAGTGCACACTACTTTCTACCAGGGAATTTCACCGCCGGTGTAGAGGACTATTCTGGGAAACACTAAAGTCCCCGTCCAAAGAGAAGATGAAGCAGCTGTTGCTTTTTTGGTATTGTTGTTCCGATGCAATAATCTGCAAGAACAAATGCCCAGTCAGGCAGTCGTTGCAAATTCCCCGTAGATTTTGGGTGAGCAGAAGATACAAGCACAAGAAAACGAAAAACACCACGGCGAGTAGAAGAGCAGTCGGTGATGGAGGAGAGGGGCTTTTTATACTCTCGATCCGGAATAGGAATGTCGACCAGGCTGAAGGCAACGGAGGGGAATGAATGGAAACACGGGCTGCCCTCCTCCACGCGGGAAGGGGAAAAAAAAAGGCAGGTATCACGAATCAGAAGCGCAGCTCCAACAAGCAGACGGACGGTCGTTCGCTGCAAACTCCAGGACCAATGCAATGCCAGGCAAAACAAAACAGGGAAGGTTGACCCGTGGATGGACCGGATAAGCCAGTCAGTCAGTCCTACGAGCGTCGAGTTGTCCCAAGTAGTACGAGTGCGATATCCACACCACTACTGTCTACCAGACAACGGTGCTGGGCTAGTCGAGGGGTAAAACGTAATGGGAGCCCCTCTTGCTATCCACTGTTGATGCCTGGACTCTTTGGAATTAATGCCGCATAAGGGAATGAAGTTGAACGGTGCCTGGTAGTCTGCAGATGGTGCAAGATAGTTCATGTGCCAAGTGTTGCGATATCGCTGCTGAAAAGGGCATTGTTGGTGGCGGTGGATAAGACCTTTTATCAAATCCTTCAAGTCATAGTCATGACGTTGGAAGGGCAGTAAAGTAGTTTTGGCGGCCGGCAGAAAGACCCCGGAAAGGGCGAACAGATCCCTGCAACCACTGCGAATTACGATCTACAGCTTATTCCCCTTGGACTCAGATCTCTTCTCAGCCTGCATTTCATGGTCGGAACTGGGTCCGTAACCTTGGAGGGTGTCTCACATTCACGGAGGACGAGATCCCGGGCGATAGCAGAGGGGAAATAGTTTGGCTCATCCAGGCTTGAGCATCCCAGGGAGAGACTTAAGAGGGGGGTTCCCACTGCTTGACGTCACGCTCGGGCCTGGAATGACCTGATGAGGCCATACCGATGCGCTGATCGCGTGGAGGGGTTGTGAGGCGGGGGAATCATATTCACCACGGAAGAGAATTAATCGGGATAGATGTCTCCGAATCATCATCTATCAGGGGAGAAATAGGGGAGAAATCGAATTTGTTGGTTGCAGGGGAAGAGAAGGGAATGTTCACGATCTCGTGTCAGGAGAACAAGGGCTGTTTAACTCCCCGCCCTTCCCGGGGGTCCTGAGAAAGTATCAGCAGAAAAGTCCCCTCAAGCATTGAAGTTGTCATGGACCACCACTACTTTAGTACCACTACCACCACCACCAACAAGACCAGGAACTTTAATCCCGGCCAGATCAGAAGGATTGCATGCCAATCAAGCCCGGGCGACGCCAACGTGGGGGGTTCCTCTCTGTTGCTGGAGGCGATCCTAACACGCCAGGAGTGAATCTGGCGCCGTTAGCGCCGGACAGATTCCTGGAAATGTCAGGGCAAGACTCTAATGAGATGGCACGGGACATAGTCATCGTAGAAAAAGAGGTGGCGATAGTGGATACAACAAGAAGTTGGCCATTTCAAGTTGAGCGAAACCTTGATGAATGAGAGAGAGAGACACAATAATAGCATGGGAATTTGAATTTTACTTCAAGGTTCTTTTCGATCTGGGCGATCTCGGCTCCAAAACCGCAACTGGCCAGTGTCAGGTCACATGACTGGGATGTAATTCCCCCACTTTGTGGCCTGATCCATCAGGCTAGAACAAGCCAGCAGGGTCAGGCCTCAACACGTGACTTCTGGCGGATTGGCGGTGCTTCTGGAAGGCGGTGGAAGCTGCCAGTGTCGTCATGAACCCAATCGGGCATCTGAAGTCACGCTCTATATTATGCAAGTCGGCATCATCTTTGTCTCGCCTCTTTCTCTCTCACCAGACTAAATCAGCAGACTAATTTCTCTCGTTCACACGGAACATTGCTTTCACATAATCTCTGAACATTTCCTCGATCTCCTCACCTTACTTACATACACCTCTCACCGTCTGTTTCACAACTTACCATAATCACGGATTAGCTTGATTTCCATCCCACATTCTTCCCTCACATTCCGCCCAACATGAACGGCGCCCAATTCACAGACAGAGCCAACAAGGCCTTGCTGGACTCCAGCAGCCTGGCAGAGCAATACTCTCACTCACAGATCCTCCCTGTTCATCTCGCCGTCTCTCTCCTCAACCCTTCTCCCGATGAATCCAAAGATCAGCAAGCCCCCGCTCATCCTTCCCACGAAACCTCCTCCGCCCCCCTCTTCCGCCAGGTCGTCGAACGCGCCCATGGCGATCCACAACTCCTGGAACGATCCCTCATGAAAATGCTGGTTCGCCTCCCTTCTCAGGATCCTCCGCCAGAGACCGTCAGTGTCTCTCCTGCACTTGCCAAGGTCATCCGGTCGGCATCCGAACTTTCCAAGACGCAAAAGGATAGCTATGTCGCCATCGACCACCTCATCCTCTCTGCCGCGCAGGACTCACAGGTTCAGCGCGCTTTGGCCGATGCCAACATTCCCAACGTCAAGTTGATCGACAGTGCTGTCCAGCAGATCCGTGGTACCAAACGGGTCGACTCCAAGACTGCCGATGCCGAAAGCGAAAACGAGAACCTGAAGAAATTCACCATCGACATGACTGCTCTGGCCAGAGAGGGAAAGATTGACCCTGTCATTGGCCGTGAAGAAGAGATCCGTCGGGTGATTCGCATCCTGAGTCGACGGACCAAGAACAACCCAGTACTCATCGGTGAGCCCGGTGTTGGAAAGACCACCATCGTCGAGGGCCTGGCTCGTCGTATCGTGAATGCAGATATTCCGGCCAACCTGGCTCAATGCCGGCTGCTGTCTCTCGATGTCGGCTCGCTTGTTGCAGGCAGCAAGTATCGCGGAGAATTCGAAGAGCGGATGAAGGGCGTTCTGAAGGAGATCGAAGAATCAAAAGACACCATTGTTCTCTTTGTCGATGAAATCCATTTGCTCATGGGCGCAGGCTCCAGCGGCGAAGGTGGCATGGATGCTGCCAACCTGCTGAAGCCCATGCTCGCTCGTGGTCAATTGCACTGCATCGGTGCGACCACGCTGGGCGAATACCGCAAATACATTGAAAAGGACCAGGCTTTCGAGCGTCGTTTCCAGCAGGTCCTGGTCAAGGAGCCTTCCGTTCCGGAGACCATCTCCATCCTGCGTGGTCTCAAGGAGAAGTATGAAGTGCATCACGGTGTTAACATCCTTGACGGTGCTATCGTGTCCGCTGCCACGCTGGCTGCGCGCTACTTGACCGCACGCCGACTCCCCGACTCGGCAGTTGACCTGATCGATGAAGCCGCCGCTGCCGTGCGGGTGACCCGCGAATCCGAACCCGAAGCGCTAGACAACCTGGAGAGAAAGCTCCGTCAGTTGCAGATCGAAATCCACGCTCTCGAGCGCGAGAAGGACGATGCTTCCAAAGCCCGTCTGGAGGCCGCCAAGCAAGAAGCTGCCAACGTTACCGAAGAGCTGCGTCCTATGCGCGAGAAATACGAGAGCGAGAAGCAGCGCAGCAAGTCCATCCAGGACGCCAAGATCAAGCTCGACTCCCTCAAGGTCAAGCGTGATGAAGCAGAGCGCTCTGGTGACACCCAGACCGCCGCCGATCTCGAGTACTACGCTATTCCCGAAACCAAGGCTCTCATTGAGCGACTTGAGATCGATCGTGCTAAGGCTGATGAAGAGCGACGGGCACGCCAGGGCGATGCCGGCGAAGCTCTGCTCGCGGACGCAGTCGGTCCCGACCAAATCAACGAAATCGTCGCCCGTTGGACCGGTATCCCCGTGACCCGGCTCAAGACCACCGAAAAGGACAAGCTGCTGAACATGGAGAGATACCTGGGCAAGGTCGTCGTTGGTCAAAAGGAAGCGGTGACCTCAGTCTCCAACGCCATCCGACTCCAGCGGTCTGGTCTCAGCAACCCCAACTCACCCCCTAGCTTCCTGTTCTGCGGTCCCTCCGGAACCGGTAAGACCTTGCTGACCAAGGCCCTGGCTGAATTCCTCTTCGACGACCCCAAGGCCATGATCCGCTTCGATATGTCCGAATACCAAGAACGTCACTCCCTGAGCCGCATGATCGGCGCACCCCCAGGCTACGTCGGCCACGATGCCGGCGGCCAACTAACCGAGAGCCTGCGCCGCCGACCCTTCTCGATCCTCCTCTTCGATGAAGTCGAAAAGGCCGCTAAGGAAGTCCTAACTGTCCTCCTTCAACTCATGGACGACGGCCGCATCACCGACGGCCAAGGCAGAATCGTCGACGCCAAGAACTGCATCGTAGTCATGACCTCTAACCTGGGTGCCGAATTCCTCTCCCGCCCAACCACCAAGGACGGCCGCATCGACCCTCAAACCCGCGAGCTGGTCATGGGCGCCCTGCGCGACTACTTCCTCCCTGAATTCCTCAACCGCATCTCCAGCACCGTCATCTTCAACCGTCTCACCAGGCGCGAGATCCGCAAGATCGTCGACCTCCGTCTGGAAGAGGTGCAGCGCCGTCTTGAGAACAACGACCGCAACGTCATTATTCAATGCTCTGACGAAGTCAAGGATTACCTCGGCGAAGCAGGTTACTCCCCTGCTTATGGTGCTCGTCCGCTAGGACGCATCATCGAGCGCGAGGTGCTGAATCGTCTGGCTGTGTTGATTCTGCGCGGTAGTGTGCGTGATGGTGAAGTCGCGAGGGTGGTTATGCGTGAGGGCCGCATTGATGTCCTTCCTAATCATGAGATTCCGGTCGATGAGGATCAGGATATGATCGATGAGGAGGATGAGGCGTTAGCGGAGATGGAGGATGGTAGTGGAGATATGGATTTGTATGATGAGTAGGTTGATGCATGGAAAAGTGATTGATTGAGCGATTGTTTCTAT